CTCACCATTCGAAGGCCATACCAATCGTGTTATTAAAACAGCTATCTATCTGGCATTTTATGGTTTTCTGCGGCCCAGAGAATTCACCACCACTAGCGTTAACTCGCTCACCTTCATCACTAGATCCGATCTCGTAAAGGTGCACGATCACTATCAACTGTCCCTACACCATACCAAAACTAGCGCCAAAGGTCAGACAGTCATTATACCCTATTACCCCACTAATAATATCTGGTGTCCGGTGGAAGTTTTTGACACTCTTCTGGCTTTCTGTAATATGGCTCCAACACAACCACTCCTATCCTTGCACGGTAATGTACTCACTATGAGCAAATTCATGATGTATGTTAGGATGTTGTTGATCCGGTTAGGTTTGAACCCAGCCAGCTATTCTGGGCACTCCTTCCGCATAGGAGCCGCAACTACAGCTTCAAAAAAGAATATACCGGCTCACATTATCAAAATATTAGGCCGATGGAAATCCACAGCATACACCCGCTACATCCCTCAGCCTGTACAAGAAGTACGTCTGGCTTTCAAAACCATGAATATGTAATGTGTAGTGTTGAGTTATAGAACAATAAATGGTTATATCTTTTTGCCCTCTTTTATTTCAGGCCTACTTCCTCGTCAGTTCCGGCACACCACAACTGACATTTCCATTCTATGTTTGTCTTATGTCAATAGTACTACGGCTTATGCCATGACCACAAATATATATATATATACATATATATATATATATACCCAGGATTACATATTGTTTACATGAAAATGACAAATTTTAGTTTGTGTTGGTCTAGGTTGAGGTCCCTATGAACATAAACCTTGTTTATTTGGCCCGTGTTAGCCTTTAAGTTTGACATGCTTCTGCTAGAGTGTCCCTTTAACAATGCTAGGAAGTAACCCCTTTAAAACACAACAAGGTGCTTTAACCCATTAAGGATATATGACATGTGTGACATGTCATGATTCCCTTTTATTCCAGACGTTTGGTCCTTAAGGGGTTAAATACATTTTTAGTAAGCTGGTAAACTGTAGCACTTTATAGGAAAGGCATTCTGTAAATCTCTTGAATGTGAAATATGTTTTAAATCCTCACTTGGGATTGTTTTTATGCAAAACACTGCTCACGCCATTTAATTAAACATGCCAGATTTAATCAGATTTAATGCAGAGAAAATTAATTTGATTTAGTTCAATGAGATGCTGACAATTTTTTTGTTTCTATTAATTCTACAGCTCTTCTCACATAAAGCTGTAGAATAGCTTCCTCATAAAATTATTTTCTCAACCGCTTCAAGATAAGTATTAATAGAGTATCCATTAAAATAGTGTCATCAAAATGTCCAGTTAAAAATGTCAAGCTTCAACATAGTGATGCTGTAATTGTGCTGCATATACATGGGCAGTGTAATTTCAGCACCATTGTCTGCTGTTTGTAATGGCATGCACAGTGTTAGGTTTTGTAGCAACTAAACCCAGAGAATACACACAGACACAGACACGGTTAATGCGGCAGTCTCAATCCTGCTCATACAATGCAGGAATACAGAAGGTTGGTAGAGCAGTTGTGTGTATTTTTGAGGTGCACATCCCTCTCTCCTTGCTTCCTTTGGAAGGGTGAAACTCTCCTGCACTTTGAGGACTCTGTCCACTGTGAGGCCGGTGTATATATATATAATTTTAAACAAACAGCAAGCACACCATGTTGCCAACATTCAGGTAAACCAGAAGCTATTTTTTCCTAATAGGAGTTTTGTGAATGGCATCACTGAGTTCCACGTTTCAAATGCAACCAGGGAGCATACTAACATTGGAAGATCTCCTTTTTGTTGCCTAATTTATATATGTATATGCCTGCAGCATATAGATCCCACATATTGCTAATAGTGTCCTTGATGTACAGCGGCTGCCCTAAAATGATGGCATTCGTGTCCTGAAAAGATATGTTAATCTGGAAACCCATGCCGAGTGTGCTGCTGAAGTGCTTGCTGCATTGTCCTAGTGGCTGAGGTCTCTAAAGGCACCAGGGAATAAAATCTGTACAGTGAGCATGGAGAACAATATCAAAATAGTCTTGCTTAAATCAAGACAGTTTTGCCTAAATCGGGACAGCTTGGTAACATGATTACAGAATGCAGTCAACCTATCACAGCCAAGGCCTGACTGGCCTACAGGGATACGACAAAAGATCCTGGCGGGCCACGGCACCTGGAGCTGGGAAGATGCAGCACATTACATGAAACATACATTTTTATTCCCGTCCTCAAACTACACGTTGGGGGTGGCTGATGCAGTTAACTAGGTGGATGCAATGAGGCTGCCAGCAGGCGGTGCACCACAAAGTTGGCAGCAGGAGGGATGAGTAAGAGAGCACTGAAAGTCTCTCACACAAACTCCCCTTCACCGATTCCAGCAGAAGATGGCCACATGGCTCTGGCAGGAGCTAACCCCTGAACTGAAGCTCTACCCCTCAGCCTTAACCAGCTGACCTTGCAGACAGGAAGAGGAATAGATAACTTCATACATGAAGAAACCTCACACTGCCCTCAGAGTCCCACTGCTAGTTATAGGTACTTTTAGATTTGCCTAGCAACTCATGACCAATAGTAATTTTGTGTTTGCTGTTGTCTGTAGTGAGCTTGTGTTTGTGTCAGTGAGCGTATCGGTAATGAGCTTGTGTGTGTGTTAGTGACCTTGTCTGTAGTGAGTGTGTGTCAGTGTGCTAATCTATAGAGAACTTGTGGGCACTCAGTTAAGCAATATGAAGAAATGAAACAGATTTCAAGGAACCTGAGACAAATTCAACAAAATGTGGTCCCTCCGGACGTGAATGACACCGATCAGAGACAGCAATACCAGGATCTCTCTCTGTCCACCCTCCTTCTATCTGCTCATCATCCTTCTACCAGAGGCAACTATGGACAGGGCCGATGCAAGGATTTTTGGCTACACAGGCAAAGATGCATTTTGCCGCCACCCGTTCCACCCCAATAAATGCATCTTCACCTGTATGTCCCTCTTGAAGTTCTTATCCTCTTTTGTGTTTCTTATCCTCTCTTCTATAATGTCTTACCCCATTTGTTGTATCGTATCTCCCTTTTGTCTTACACTTACCTTTCGGCTCTGTCCTATCAGGAGTCCCAGTGGTACTTCATGTATTGGATAGTGCAAACTCAGGTGGGGAGGGACAATCCTCAATGTACACATTGCAGCACTTAGAGGATGTGATCTCAGATCACTTCCTCCCTGCACTTGTGAATGGGAATCCACACTGGAGTGGAGTAGTATGTAGCAGTTATTGCAGCTCCTGCCCTTGATCTGCACCTGGTCAGCTCGGTCCATACTGGACCTCAGAGAAGTCAATCACACTGCTAGATATACACAAAGAGCTGCAGAAGAAGCCTCATACAAATGATATTAATATCCCACGAACAAAATACCACTGTTAATACACGCACACACCCCACAAGCAGCCCCACATATATACACCTCACTAAACACACAATGTGACACGCCCCCATACACAGCCCACATTCAGATATCATACACAATGCCACAAACTACTCATGAACATTTACCATATAACAGCTCACATACGCACAAATACAATACTACAAAGCAACTTCAGCGCCCATAACTAACACAAGCAGAATACGGCAACATACACACATCAATTTAAAAAAATAGGACCGGCACGCCAATGGACTTCAAGATTTTGCTTTGGCACAGTACTACTAAAAGGTAGCCTACCCCTGGTATAGTATATAATAGGATAATTCAGCCAAATTAATGAACTTTTGACAGTGTGTGAATATGAGTGTTAGATCTCTATAGTCTTCTCTGCTTGTGCAGGAAGTAAAGCAGGAAAGACCATAGAGTCGAACTGTCAGTTTTCAAACACTGTCTGTAAAATGGGGGGTGCTCCACCTTGCTCTCAGGGAGTAATTGTTCAATAATGTCCTCTGAACCTTGCCTCCAATTAGCACTCTCCTAGCTAATGGGGAAATAGGTGAAATTGACGAGTGAACTTGGCCGCTTGAGTGAATTTGATCATGATGTAACTACGGCCGAGCTGGGGAGATGAATACGGCCAGGTCCCACTGAAGATCTAGCGGCTTACCCCGGCTGCCCCTGAACCATTAGCTGGCATGGTGGGGAGATTGCTTAGTGGTAGTACATGGAGGGTTGGGTCGAGAGAGCCAGGTTTAGTGATATAGTCATTTGGAGAGAGGAAATAGCATGTATTAAGGCAGGGTCTGCACAATTAGGTTCAAGGTGTCCATTAATATACCTTGAAATTGCATTTTACCCATAATATTTTGTGACTTGTAACTACCAAAAATAAACTGAAATCCTACATATGTGATGCACTTTGTAAAACAGGACAACTAAAGAGTTTGTTTCAAATTACTTTTCTTAAAGGACCACTATAGGCTGCCAGGTCCATCTTTTGTTAACCCTGCATCTGTAAACATAGGCTATGTTTACATTAGGGTTAATCCAGCCTCTAGTGGCTGTCTCACTGACAGCCGCTAAAGGCGCTTCCGCGCTTATCACTGTGAGAAGACGCTAGATGTCCATAGGAAAGCATTGAGAAATGCGCATTCGGTGCTGATGTCGGAAGAGGGAGGAGAGTTCCCCGCTGGAGAAAGGTAAGAGGACCTCTTCAGTCCGGCGGGAGTGGGACCCTGAGGTTGGGCGGGACCTAAAGACCCTATAGTGCCAGGAAAACGAGTTTGTTTTCCTGGCACTATAGTGGCACAAACTACTATTGACAAAACTGTGGGGAAAAAATGTTTTTGCTTTAATTTTTTTTATAATAAATGAGAATTTATAGATCACAAATGTATTGGCACGATGAAAGACAAAGATGAAAATTGCATTTGAACACACACATAGCAGAAATTTCAAGATTGGAAACTGGAGCTGTTGTCACTTAGGTTTAAGCTGGTTTCACCAGATAGTGGGGAGGTAACAAATCCAGATGGGTGTATCTTAGTAAAACTTCCTGGAGCCTCCTCTTCCCTGTTTTGCCAAGTTAGTGGAGCAGAGCTAGAAAAGTATCTCAAGACTCTGAGTGACCTCACATATACCATATACCAGCTGATCCCTGTGGGTGTACAGAACGAGGGGTTGTAAAGTAACTGCAAGCCATGAGTGTCCTGGACTTTCACATCAGAGGCGGACTGCACCCGCCTGGGGGTAAATGGAGGTCCTAGTGTTACTTTTTAGGGACAAAGGGCAGATTGTCTGGCTCAGTTTACCTTGTGTCTGACTGTGTAATAGGATTTCGGGGTCTGCGCTCTTACCTACCTACACAGCAACAGGATGAAGAAGCCTGACCTGAAGGTGGTACTCCTGGGGGATATGAATGTGGGGAAGACTTCCCTGTTACACCGGTACATGGAGAGAAAGTTCCAGGAAACCGTGAGCACAGTCGGAGGGGCTTTCTACCTCAAGCAATGGGGTCCCTACCATATCTCCATCTGGGACACTGCAGGTATTGGAAGTGGTGGGAACCTGGCTATAGGGTGCTGTACAGTCACACTGCTCTTACTAAGCTGCACTCCAACACTGTATCACATTATCCTCTTTAACCCTTTAAAGATCAGATATACAATATGAATGATATCTTACTGGCCTCTAATGGGTTAATTTAGCTCCTACGAGGTTGTCAGCCTGGCTAATCTTTGCAGATTTAGCTGAAACATTCCACAGGACAATCCATTTCAGAATGTAGAACACTTGTGAAGAGGGATAGTTTGTCCTCATTGCCTACAGGGATTGCATGTGATTTTTAGTCACCACTTGTGTGTTCTGTTTGATATGTAAGAAAATAACACTATGTTTGCACTTCACATATGATCGACACCCCTTTGCACGTACACACATTCTACCTTTGCTGCTGATAACAAATATGGGGGATGGAAAGCCACTGGCTAGAGTGCCATCAGCAGTACATGCTATTAATATTGAGTTGTAGCAAGCAGTAGATTTTTTTTTTTTTGGATTCTTAGAAAGCTGGCTGAGCATGATGAGAGTTAGACAATCCTAATTTAGAAAGGTCACACCGTGATAATTCTAGTGTAGTTTCTATTTATAATACGTGTCAGTGATCAGTGACAATTCTAACATTAATAGGAAATGATTTTTGCTTGACTTCTCCTTTCTGTAACAATAGGGATTAAGTATACATATTGTCCTGCTGTAATGTAAAATGGGTGGAATTGCCAATGATTGCCCCTATTTCTAGTACGTTAGACCACTTTTTTTTTTTATATAAAACCCCCAATGTATTCTATTGACAGTGCATTTGCTGTGCTTGAGAATTTCCAGCTGTTGGTTTCTATTTAAGGGGCCCATTGCACATTAATGGATGGCATTTGTCGCCATTTGTTAAAATATGTTCAAATATCTGCTCTGTGTGGATGTTCCCTGTTGCTTATAGAAAAAAGTTTGTATTTAAGCGTTTCTCCAACCCTTTTTCGTTTAACGTAGAATATGCCCTTTTTGCATTATTCTGTTGTTCCCCACATTAAAAATTCTGAAAGATCATTTTAAAAATAGATTTAAATAACCTTAATGCAAAACCGCACAAAGCTCCCCGATGTTTGGTGCAACCCCGTCAGACGTTATTGGAATTGCTCTAAATTGCTCTCATCGCACTCTGAGCCAGTGCGTGCAAATAACACTGCACATCCTAGGCTCCTACCACTATGACAATCTCAAAAAGCAGAAGTGGCCATGGTGGTTGGAGTAACCCTTAAAAGAGACTGGGTAGAAGTGTGTCTTTAGGGATTTAACCCTGCTCACACTGAGATCTATTTATGGGTGTTTAAATGCCTAATTAGGGAGCTGCAATAATAACATTGCAGGACCAAGACTGCCTCTAGTGGCTGTTAATCAGACAGCCTATAGAGGCATTTGCTGGTGGCTAACCGACTTTTGGTTTCCTAAGTGACACTGGACTTCCTCACACTCTGCTTGAGATCATCCATCGGAAATCATTGAAGCAAGAGAGAACTTGTATTCGTTACACTATAGAATCATGTTAATCCCCATTTAAATGCATGCTTGCAGCACTCACTATGAGTGCTGCAAACAAAGCATCGGTCAGTCTGGGCCCACATATTCTGGCGCCAGCTGATAGAGGGGAGGAGGCCACAGGAATCAAATGATACCTGGGGTTACCAGCAGGGAAACATTCAATTCAACTGAATTATTCTATCATGGGACTTTAAGGCACAGACAACCATGATGTCATTGGTCTTTAAGGGAAAAAATATAGAAGTTCATTCAATTTTTGTTGACCAACACTGAGCTTACTCGGCACATTTCTATTATATCTGTGCTCTTGCAGTGGTTTCGTTTCTACTTTTTTTTTTATTTGTAGTCTTCCTGGTCAGACTAGATGGAACTGCATTGCAAAATTAGGGTACTGATAGTGTGCAGTTGCATCAAGGCCTAATGTGATGACTTTCAGAACATCATATTGATTTCCTATAAGGATCTAGCCTGACTCTAGACCACCAGACATGACCCCATGAGCAAACTTGGTATTGTAAATACTTCAGTCTGGCTGTTCTAAAATTGTCACTGCACAACCTGTCTCACCCAAGTGCACCATCTTCCTAGGTGGAACCTTAACAGAGTACCCTAGCATGTAAAAGTAGGGCAGTCCTAGAAATGGTCTGTGAGTCAAATTTGGGGGCCAGCATGTGAACAGAGCACAGGTGAAAGTCAAAACTGGTGCTATCAAGACATATGTACTAAAGAGGAGAGATATGAAAGGAGCTGTGGGTAAGGAGCATTATCCAGGTCGCTGCAATCATAATAGCCTGCAAGGAGTAATTTGGCCACGTTTAAGTATGATCCAATTGTAGAGCTTTAAAAATTAGAGAGAGACAAGCTATGTTCCTAAGATGGAAGCAGTAGTATTAAAGGACCACTCTAGGCACCCAGACCACTTCAGCTTAATGAAGTGGTCTGGGTGCCAGGTCCCTCTAGGATGAACCCATTTTTTTTATAAACATAGCAGTTTCAGAGAATATAGTGGTCCTTTAAGCTATTAGCTGGATGTGAGGTGTGAAACGCAGAGCCAATTACAATCCTACAATATGCTTGTAATTTAGTGGAATGCTTGTAACAGCCTGAAATAATACCTAGAAAGTAGAGGTAACACATGAAAGAGGAAAGAAATGATTTGTGCTGTTTAGGAGAGGCTGCATTTTAAGATGTAGACAGTTTGACATGGTACAAGAAGGTCCTAGAGATCAGGGAAGGAGACAAGCATGTTCTCAGCAGACGTGCTGTACCGGAATATTATACTATTATAATTTCAGACATGTTGCATGTAATGTCTCTTTTTACTTTCATGAAAATTGATAAAACGTGGATTTATTTATTTTTTTACTAAAGTTTAAAGGTTTCCTATAAACATGCTTACCATGCCAGTCCAGTAATGGTTATAATGCCAGGAGTACCCTCTAGTAATGGGGTAAACTGTTAAGGAGCAGTTTGCTTTCTTACCTGGGTCCCAGCTGGGCTCTGAGGCTCCGTATTGTGCCTTTATTAATGGTGGGGTTTTTTTGTTTGTTTTTTGTTTTTTAAAATGTTTTCATTTTTGTTGGGGTTAGGGTACAGAATAGAACAAGGAAGTAAGATTGTTACAGAGTTCGTGGAGCTTATTTTTGCAGTTCATGACAATCTTGCATATGGAACAGGTTTATGATTTTTCTCTGGTTACAGTATCTGTCGTTTGCTGATACGATATTACTCTGTACATAACATTTGTTGCTGTTCTAGATCTAAGGATTGGGGAGGTGTACAGAATAGGAAAGGGATGGAATTTGGGTACCCTATTGTGGTGTGGTTTTTTTTTTTTTTTTTTTTAATCTTTATTTTTCTATTTTGCATTTTTTACAAGAATAAGGTTGTACAGAAATGTGAAAGAATTGGATTAGAGCACAGTTTACACTTGAATGGTTACATTTGTTTGCCTTGTACTTTTGCCCGTGCGCATAAGCTTGTCTTATCAACGGTGTTGGTGGTTGTGTTCCCAGAGAGGTTTTGGGGTTCGAGGGAGTAATGTTTGCTGTCGGGACAGGGCCTCTCAGTAAAGTTGTTCCGTGTCTCCAGTCTGTAGGGGTGCGTTGGTTATGGTGGTTTGGTTTTCAATTATTCGGTATGATTAGGTTGGTTGTGTGCTAGTGGTTGGATGTTATTTGATAGTGATGCATGTCCCTGTGGGTCTCTCCACTTGCGTGTGTCTGTGTGGCCTTTTACTGTCCACTCCGGATTTGTTGGGGGTAAGTGCGCGGCTCCGTTCCGTGCCCGGGTGTTGGGGGTAGGGTCCAGGTGGTTATAGAGTGGGGTAGAGGGTTTGGGAGGAGGGGGTTTAGGTGGGTAGCGGTGTGGGTTGGGTGTTGAGGTTTGTCACCGTGCACTGCCCCAGCCAGTTGGGATGGGGGAGGAACGGGGAGTGCTATGGGGTTGGCAATGGATGTGTCGGGGGTGCTTTATGTATGCTGTCCGTTTTCTGTTAGGTGCTTTATTAATGTTTTAATGCTATACAAGTTTCCAGAAGAGCAAGCATTAGCCTGAGCAGAAATGGGTGGTTGTAATTTGCTGAGAATGTCAGCCGAATGCTTAAAGCCTATTACTGTGCCCATTCCCATATGGTTCGGAGGAATTGTGTAATCTCTGCTTTAGCCACATCTCCAGTGAAGGCGTTTGAGAAGCCAGGGAACATTATCTTTTAGGAAATCACTGAATGGAGTGACAGCACTAGTGGACTCAAAACGCTATATCCAATTACATGAGATGAAATGGTTATAGTGACTACAGTGTCCCTTTTAATCGATGTACGTGTGTGTGTGTTTTCTTCTTTAAGCTTTTACACTTATACTACCTACCTATACTTCCACTTATAAGTTTGATTTGTAAGCATAGGACTAACCTCATAATTTGAACAATATTTAAAGAACCAAACAAAAATACTTGAAATACTGGTCAAAGTCTTAACGCCATAGGGAACAGTCTTGTCTAACTAGTTTAAGACTTTTGTATTTAGAAAAGAGTTTTAGTGCTATTAAAAATTACAGTTATGGAATAAGATTTACCTCTAGCAGTTCATACATACTTTACATAATTTACCAGTTACCCCTTCTGAGTGGAATGAGATCGTTCCACTACATACAAGATCAGTCACTAGCTATTGTGAATTTTTAAGGCCTTGCTAATATCATAGTTACATAGCTGAAAAGAGACTTGCGTCCATAGAGTTCAGCCTTCCTCACATGTGACTTGATCTCATAGGACTTGCAATTTTTAGCTGTGGACTAGATTATTCATGGGACTTCTAAGTCAAGTCTTAAATCACAAAACCATCTTGAATTGCATGCCGGAGCCCACTCAATGTGTATTTAAAGCATCAGTCATTAAAACTGAAAACCGATGTAGTAAAACTTAAAGGAGGTTAAAGGATCACTATAGTGTCACTATAGTGCCTTGAGGGTGCCCCCACCCTCAGGGTCCCCCTCCTGTGGTGCTGAAGGGGTTAAAACCTCTTCAGCAGCTTACCTTATTCCAGTGCCGGGCTTCCTTGGCGCTGGTGATCTCTCCTCCCCCATCTGACGTCAGCAGAGCCGAATGCACATGCGCGGCAAGTGCCGTGCGAACATTCAAAGTGTCCATAGGAAAGCATTTCTCAATGCTTTCCTCCGGACACTCTGCGCGATGGAGGTATAATATGTCCGGAAGACAGCCACTAGAGGCTGGTTTAACCACAAATGTAAACATAGCAGTTTCTTTGAACTTGAGGGACCTGGCACCCAGACCACTTCATTGAGCTGTCAATCAGACAACAAGTCCTGTTACTTCCTGGTTTGATTATCTCAGTGTAACTAAACTAAAAAAGAGGCAGTGCACCTGCCTTGCAAAGACTTCTCATTGAGGTGCATTGGCAAGTCTGTCATACTGGACAGCCACAAACAATATGAGATGGGGAATAAGGGCAGAGTTTGCAAAAGCTTTAGACTGTTCTGCAGCTGTTTTTATTTATTTATTTTAATTCTTTGTTTTATTTGTGCGTGAGTTGAACAACCATGTCTGCACTGCCATATCAGCAGGTGCAAGCACATATATAAACAATCGATAATAGTTATATGGCATTGAAAAACATTGCACAGTTTTTCTTTGTTTTATCTCAGAGTGGGAAACATGTAATGAAGTGAGACACATTTAGAGCTAGGCTCGGCAGTCAACCAGTGATCGCTGAGATTTTTCACATGTGCACAATTAAGAATGATGTTGATGCGTTGTATGAATAGGTTTAGTGGTTGTTTAGTAAGCAGATGTCTCAGTAAGCGATTTGTAGTAGATAGGATTAACTGTATATATGCCTAGTGTGTGTAGTAAAAGGTGATGCTGGTATGTTGAGTCACTTGGCTTGAAGAGTAAGTTGCTTGTAATGAATCACCCTGGCTGGTCTGACATGCATGGTCTGACACAGGCTCTGGGAGTCATCCGCGTGGCGGGCGTGAACCTCGCCGGTAGGAGTCGACTTTCAGTTAGCCGATACCCAATCGGTCGTGTCGGTATGGCAGGGTATGATTGTCCACCAGGGCATGATTGTCCACCAGGGCAGGGATCCGGGCAGAGACCATTTGCCACCAGGGCAGGGATGCGGGCCATAGCCGTGAAGGACCTGGGCAGCTGGAGGGTAGAAGCCATCGGGGTAGGTAGCTGAGCGCAGTCCAGGAGAGCTGGTTGTCGGGTGCCACGCTTAACGCAGTTCTGGGACCGCCGCGCTGCTGGATGTGCGGTCTGTGGGTATGTGATCGGCCCTGCTGTGGGTGTACCTTTCTTGGCTTCAATGTCGTCATTCTCTGGCGGGGGTAGTCGCCGTGTGGCGTTCTGTCCTTCTGGTGCTGCAGCTGTTAACGGCTCAGCCATGTCCTCATCACTGCCTGCCGTCGGCTCGTATCATTGTTGGGACGGGTAAGAGCTCTCATGGTGGGCTACAATATAGGATGTGGAGGTCACGGGTCTCTGTCTAGGCGACTTGTCTGTTGCTGTGGGCCCTTTGCAAGAGCAGCCCTTCTCTCCGACCTCGGCGCACATGGCATCCGCCATCTTGTGTGCTGCGCCCGGGCCCCTAATCGGGGTGGTGGTGTCATTAGGCCTGGATTGTATCCGCCCTGGGCTGGGCCTCTGGTTGTGCACTGTCAGGCAGGATAGCAGGGCAGCTGCCGTCCGCCCCACTCACCGCTGGCGAAGGCCCCAACTTGGACGTCGAAGACCTCACCTCCAGGGCACTGAAACTCGAGGAGCCGTCCTCGCCCTGGATCCAGTGTCCCCTCAGCCACGAGGACCATTGCAGTCGGTTGGTATTTGGGTCGTTTTTCATGTTTATAAGCTTATGCAGTTTGTGAACAGCAGGAGCTATTCTCGCTTGCGACCGTACAGCTCAGCGGTCCGGCCCCGCCCCCCTTTTTTATTTATTTTTAATTCTTTATTCAGTAGTTTAACAAAGTGTGATATGTTTGGAGATAAACAGGCAAATGACTGCATGAGTTACATGGGTACAAATGTATGTTGTTGCTCAGAACATTGCAGGTGTCACAATAATGTTCAATCTAGTTACCATACATGTAGTGGTATAATGTCATAACAGTACAAAACCTTTTCCTCTCATTGACATCTTCTTAATAAAAGTTTGATAAGAAACTAGGTATGAGGGGAAGGGAAGTCTATTTCCAACTTCTGTTGTTAGATAGGAGAGTCAGAGCATAAGGATTAAAAAAAAACAAAAAAAAACATTGTGTAAAGCTTTAACATTGTGGTCCTTAAAGGGAAACTATAGTGCCAGGAGGAAAATGTTGTTTTCCTGGCATTAGCGCCCACTCTACCAGACAGACAGCTGTTTACGGAGTTTGACTCAATGAAACAATGCTGGACTTCCTCACGCTTTGCATGAGAACATCCAGTGTCTTCAAAAACCCCATAGGAAAGTATTGATTCAATACTTTACTATGGGAAAACCTAAATGTGCTTGCTGCGCATGCACTTAGGCCCCCTCCTCCCCCTCTGCACTTGTATCACAAAGCTGGTGCTGAAATAAGGTGAGTGATATATAGGTTTTTTGTAACCCTTTAATTTCCACGGGGGAGTGAGAATTGCAAGGGGCCAAGCAGAAGGACACACTATTCCTAATACCATAGTATTCCTTTAAATTAACAAAGTGGGTTGTTGCTGAACCCTTATTATTTGAAATGATAATTTTTTTAAAATGCAAGAAATGAAATGACCACACAACTCATGTTAGATGTGTAGTACTGAACTCTGCAGTTGTTGCTTTCAAATAGAAATTGATGACAAACCTGTTTCATTCTTGAACCAAGAAAAAAACAACATACTAATTGAGCTCCTCTAGTGCAAGTCTGGATATACAAGGACATACATAAGAAAATTCACTCAGATCTGTCCCACATTTGCGTGGTATGTTTGTTTGTTTTTTTTTGTTTGTTTTTTGTTCTTTTATATTCTATATCCCATAGACCATTAAGTTAACTTCCAATAGTCAAGCAGCTTTTACTTGCTGAGTAGTGTAATTCATACAGCCATATAAAAAAGCTATGGGATATATCAGGACATCTGCTTGTATACCTTTTTGCACAAGCATAACAGACGTTTAATGTTTTTCTTTGATGAAGGCTTGTGTACCAGGAACAGGTGTGACTGAACCCCAACACGGGGTCTAGTTTTGCACCGCTATATAGTTCTTCTCTACTCCTGTATCTCTAGGTATCCTTGAGAAATTTACATAATTTCTTGACTGTAAGACCTTGCTTACTCTCTTACTATCTAATCCTTCTTCCAGGCAGGTATCATCTTCCCTGCCTACTCCCTTCTTCCTGACATGTATTGTCCCCTCTGCCAAGACCTCACCCAACACCATCTTTACGAGGACACGTTTTGGCTCACAGACCGAAATGATTATGTTCAGTGCCAACAAGTCCCCCACAACTTCCATAACACTTTAGTCGACACCAGGATGGTGACTGCCAACACCAAGGATCAATATGGGCATATTTCAATGATTACACCTTCTTACTGCACAGTCCAACTTGTCTTGGGTGCATGGTCACATTCACAGAATTATTCACCAAAGCGAGAATTCAACGTGAATTTGAATACAAAGCACAAAGGCCACTAGCTGAACAGAAAGTATTGCTGATTGGAGAAATTGTTTTTCCAGTTCAGCTATTTCAACCATAAATTCAAATAAACTTTGAATTATCACTTTGGTAAATATCCCTGACCATCTTAAAATATAAAATATCTGTATTTCAAGCTCTGGAATGCGGGACTTTATTTTTTATTGATACAATCTATTACTAAAGGGGAGGGGAAGCTGATTGAGCAGTTTTCATCAGATTAGACTGAACTATATAAATACAAAAAGAGAAGTCCTGCGCTCACTCCCATCACTACTGGGCCGGCAGCAATGACTACAGTACACATCAGCCGCAATATATAGTAAAAACCAAAGAAAAGAAAAAAGTTACCTGCGCTCTCTCCTTAATCCCTATGTATATTTAGACAAATATAAAAAATACCCCTCTCTGTCTTATTAGAGATATCTTTGCCAGAAGCTCAAGGAAGCAGGCTGAAGGGTCAGTGTTAGGACCTGCTTAGGGGGGACTGCCTTGATATTGGCAGGCGGGCATTCCCTCCAATGGCCATTGGAGCAACTAAATGACCTCCATTTGTCTAAATATACATAGGGATTAAGGAGAGCGCGCAGGTAACTTTTTCTTTTCTTTGGTTTTTACTATATATTGGGGCTGATGTGTACTGTAGTCATTGCTGTCGGCCCAGTAGTGATGGGAGTGAGCGCAGGACTTCTCTTTTTGTATTTGTATTTAATTTGTATCACACAGCCTTGTTACAATGCTGCCGCCCTTCCCATGTGTTCCCTATTAAGGGTTAATAAGTATATAGGGGTGTATATAAAAAAAATACCCCTCTGTCTCATTAGAGATATCTTTGCCAGAAGCTCAAGGAAGCAGGCTGAATGGTCAGTGTTAAGACCCGGTTAGGGGGGTATGCCTTGACGTTGGCAGGTGGGCATTCCCTCCAATGGCTATTGGAGCAACTAAATGACCTCCATTTGTCTAAATATACATAGGGATTAAGGAGAGAGCGCAGGTAACTTTTTTTTCTTTTCTTTAGACTGAACTATATGATGCAAACAGCATTTTTAACATTTTTCTCTTCTTCTGCCGGAAGTCCCAGAAAGCAAAAGTGCTGTAAACGCATGTCTTTAGTGCTGAGCTCTACATAGATGCAGCCAAACCTAAACATACGGACATTGAACACTGCTTTTGTTACTGACTTTTAAGGAGTGATACCAGAAAGATAAGTCATTACATGAGTTATAAACAGCTCTAGCTGTTTTCTGGCTCTGGTTGCAGAGGGAACTATAGTATTAGGAATACAGATTTGTATTTCTAACCCTATAGAATCCCTTTAAACCAGGGTCAAACTCCAAATATAGAAGAAAAGTGCACTTATGAAAAGGCAATAGTGTATTTATTGCACATCATCTGTTAATATCTTACTTGTAAAAATGGATAGAACCTTTAATACTAAGAGTTCCAGAACCAAATTTGAATTCAGTATTTGAATATATGTCAGCTCTTTCTTTTACCCAAATAGCTCTGCAAGCCAGAAGAGCTCTGGTTGGTAATGAGTATCTTATTCTATGAGATTGTATGTATATGTGTATGGCCAAAACTATTTGGACACATGACCATCTCACCTATATGAGCCTGGTTGATGCCATATGTATTAATATGGAGTCTTGTCCCTCATTTTGAGGCAGTAACCACTCTTCTGGGCTTTCCACAATACTTAAGATTGTGTCTAAGAAATTTCTTCTCATTCAGGCACTTATGTAGTATATATGAAGGTCTGCCTCAAAGTCACAGTTCCAATTCATTCCAGACATGTTCAGTGGGGTTGAGTTCAGGCTCTGTGCAGACCATTTGAGTTTCTCCACACCACATTTGTAAACCATGTCTTCATGAACCTTTATTTTTATTTATTCTTTTTAATTTTTTTGCACTGGGGCACTGTCATGCTTGAACAGGAAAGGGAATTTCCAAAGCAGTTGCCACAATATTAGAACCACCCAATTGTTTAAAATGTCTTTTGTTATCCTGTAGTATTAAGATTACTCTTCCCTGAAATTTAGGGGCCTTCCCCAAACCATGCAAAACCGCCTCAGAAAATGATCTCTCTTCCATCAAACTTTGCCATAGACACTGTGCATTCCCATAGATGGTGTTCTCATTGGCATTTGTCACACACAGATTTTCTTGGCAGACTGCTAGATAGTTACATAGGATTAATCTCAGCAGAGAACACGTTTACATTGATCCATAGTCCAGTGGATTTATGTTTTACACCCCTCCGGCTCTTTCTTTGCAATTTGCATGTTGAAGTAAGGCTTGCATACAGCTACTCGTATAATAATTTTCATTTTTGATTTTATGTTAGTAGTTAGTCTTAGTTTTGACCCCCCTGGTCCCTTCTCATTTAATTAATTAAAATTATACTAAATTAGCCTGTACATACCTTTTTCCCAAGATTCCATCCTTGCAACTTCCCGCTCTGCATCCCATTTTATTTAATCTCCTTTTCAACTTCTCCAATCAAGTGCAAAAAAGATAAATTGATAAGAATGGCATATTAGACCACAATGAGTATTTATTTGCAGAATAACAGTCTAACAGGGTTCCATTGTTTAAACATGTTATATTATGCTGCCTACTACCTCATATTTAGCAGCCCACCAGCATTTGAGTTTAGAAGCCTAGTTGTTTATTGCATTATGTATGTATTGTGGGGGAAGTGTTTTTGACATTGTTTGAGATGTATTACTTCTATTAAATGGAAAGCATTTATTCCTGCATGGTCCACAACCAACTTCATAAATGAGTCGTGATATCACTCATAATATGTAGTGACTGCAGGGCTGATTAATCCACATACTGTATTGTCTACCAAAATTTTAGGCCAAAATTAGACCATACAGTTAGTATGTTGCTTTATGGAACTTTAGTTCAATAGTTATGTCAGTGGACAAAACCCTATAACGCTGTGTAGTTTGATTTGTTTTTGTAAGGTACTGGTATATGTTGGTATGCCTTCCATGTCTTGTTATTTTTGTGTGTTGTGTGTCTACCATTACCAGAGATGGTGTAGCCTGCATTAGCAAAATGATTGTAAGCTGGACTGCACCTCACTAAACAACTTCGGCTTCCCCACTCCCTCTTACTCACCAACTAATCTGCCCAGCTGCTTCACATGCACTAGCCATGCATAGGAAACTCAGTGTACGCATATGACTTTTGCAAATAAAAGAACAAAGAATGCTGATGACCAAGGAAATAATGACATACTGATTGTCTGCATATAGAAAATAAAGAGCAAGTGTAACAATTGATTGTGCATGTATATCTATCTATAAAATCACTCTGTGTATAGAGGGATTTACAATGCAGAGCAGTGTTTGTCAGTATATCGCTGGATCAATATAAATGACTGCACTGCAGTTGAAGATTGCATTTTGTAGGGATGATGAGGGAGGAACTTAAATGTTGCTTGACAAATGAGGTTGAGTGAGCCTGAGTGAATAATATACTGACTCCTAGTCTTCTCCATCTCCGTGCTGGGGAAATATCGGTAAGGATACACAGGTTGAGTACCTGTGGAGTAGAAAGAGGGTCAAGAGTTTAATTAATTACTTATTTTGCCTCCCTTATAGCCCTTGCTGGTATGATAGCACCCATATAAATTACCTTTTTATTTTACTTCCTCCAATACATTATGATTTGTTAGTCCAACCATTGTAATGAGCCGTGGAAAAAGTTAGCATTTTTGTAAATAATAATAATAAATGCTTACTCTATGCACCTTAACGTGGAAAAATAGATGGACATTCTTCAAGCTTTCCACCCTGACTACATTTTGTAAATCTGGCTCAACAGTTCCACTAGCCATTTGCAAGTGGAAATTTTTTTTTTGCCATGGACACTCCGGGTTTGCAGTAGCAAATCATTTTTGGCCTGTCTACTAGCTTAGAACTTAATTTTGAGTCTTGCTGTAGAATATTCTATATATTTCATTTATTTCACATATTTATAAACACTATTGAGGTCTTACTAATAACCAATTGTGCAACAAAATGTGTGCATATGGGCATTATGTCATGTAAATCAAATAAATTCGCTTCTACTACACTTGTGTGACAAGACCAAAACATGTTTGTAAGCTTATTTTAGATGAAAATCATAAAATAAAGTACAAGTGCTGTGCTTTAAAATTTCCTAATTTTAGTGAGCTTGCCCCCTGCAAAACATCGAGCATGTATAATTCCATATAACATGCCAGAAAAACTCTATCTATCTATCTATCTGTAATTCGTGCAATACTGTAATATTACTCTGTTATGACCAGTGCAAAAAGTGGATTTGTGAGGTGTTACACTCACATTTCAAAGAGTCTAGAAAGATCGCCTCTGATCACTTGCGCTTTTGTGGTAGCCCAGCACCACTCCTCTGGATCTCCTCAGTGTTGGTCTCAGACAGAATAAGAGACAAAACCAGACGACTAGTGCAGGATCTAAAGTAATTTTGGTTATATACATTGTGCATTAAAAGGAAATATGCTCCCCTTATGTAGAGCAGACTATTGAAGTGTTAAGTAGGTTTAAATTGAACTGACAAGTTAATCTGTAGATATTTTTGCAGCATCTTCTGAGGGCTTGCACACCTACCCACAAGTGATTGTCAGGAAAGTGAGGCACATTCAGTTGAAATCTTAGCCTGTTATTTCAAAGGACAAATTATGTTACTTTACTGCACAAACACTATATAGTAGTACTCAGTGGATGACATCACACCGTACATATAAAAACATGAATTGTGTTGTGACTGACTGACCCTGTGCATAAACTCAGAAAAGTACTTTCAGACACTAGCAGATCTTTACAGCTGCTGCCATTAATTGATGGCGTTTAAAAATACAAACAGATATGGTGAGAGAGGAGTAGGAGAGAGAAACAAGCTGGTTGTCACCAAAGTGTTAGGGATTTAACTAATGTCACAAGAATCTCACAGCTGCTATCTAGGACCAGGGCTGTTACTCCAACAAATGTTGGGTTTAGAGGGTTGTCCTTTATTTTTGTTCTTCTTAGATTCTCTACCCCTTCCCAATGCACAATGTCATCTAGTATTACTGATGCTGTTGAATGCAACTCTCTTCACCTTCTTTCAAACACACAGACATACACACCATAGTGTATCTATGAAGTATATCAATGGAGTTATGTCCAGTGCATGTGATATGAGATGGTAATGTGACTCCCAATAAAATTGGGTGACTGCATAAAAGTATGTTGTGTTTCTGTGTTATTCCTCTGGTGTGTGCTGGTGAGACATCGATGTTGGAGCACCCCCAGCACATTAGATCTTCTGATGCAAGCTTTCAATATGTTTTTACTTGGTTGGCTGTCCAACACTTTTGTACCATTCATGAACCTAAGCTTTGCTGACACGACCATTCTGAATTGGGGTGTGTGTCACTGAGATGGCAGCTGTTTCGACAATGCTTTGTGGGGACGAAATTTGTGTGGTATGCAGTGTAATTTGTATGTAGCAGTGTGTTGCTACAATTTTCATCTGACAGCTGTTTGTGAGCATTTCAAACAAAGACACTTCTCAAACTGTTCTGAAAAATGACATAGTCAGTATTATTTTGAGTATTTACTAAGGTTTTCTAGAAGTGACGATTTTCGTTATGGTGAAGTATTTGCAGGAATTTCCATTTCAAAAGACTGCCAAATTTAGAGTGGCTGTGTAAAAAAAAAAAAAGTGTTAGAAATGATTTATGAATTGTAGGCTACTTTTTCTGTTGCTGAACAAATAGCATATATTCCAAGAAATGTCTGTTATGGTGTAATAAAAAAAAAAAAAAATGGAAAAAAATCAGAATAGATGGGGGGAAAAATTAGTATTAAATGTGTAGGCAATACTTTTATAAAGTGGCATTGAAGTGTGGTTGGCATTGTTTTTTTTTTGTTTTGTTTTGTTTTTAGGGTTTTTATGTAATTTGCTTTTAGTTTTTCAGTTTCCTTTTCTTATGCCTTCATTTTATTTATCTTTTCTTTCAGTCTGCAGTTTGCCTCCTTGTGAGTTTCCTTTGATGGATGATTTGTGGAAAAATTAGCTAAGCAACTGAAATGGAACTTTGCTTAAGGCCCAACACGTTGCCAAAGATCATGCTTCCCATAAGAAAAAGTACTCCCTACTTTTTCTTATTTTATAAAAAAAAAGGAAAAGAATAAAGTAAATTTAAATACAAGGGAAATAAAAGAACAAAAAACATTAATTTAAAAAACTAAACATACAAAGCAATATTACTGCTTTAAGGTATAGCTGTTCTAAACGGAAATCCTTGTTACCCAGAGATTTTGCTGATTTTAAGAGATTATCTTTTCATATTTTTTTTAATTTTATTTTTTTAAATTCTTTATTTTTGCTGTGCATGAAATAACTTTCGCATGTCATCAATGCTATAACAGTATTCTTAAACAATTTGAAAACACATATTAGTTGACTGTTGTACAGCATTCAGATCACACGCACAATTTTTTAGGTTAACAATACAAGCTGGGTAACTACGTCTATCATAATGGATTTCTTTGTCGATTAGTAACAGTAGCTGAAGATTAATATTTATGTTGCATCTCGGTGTCATCTACATATTTAAAGTGTATGCGTCCTCTAGATCTAATGGAGCGTCTAACAGATTATAAAACCACTGGTAGTCAGTATTGGTGCAGAGAGTATTGTTAAAGTGAAATAAGGGGAGCTGCTGCGATGCAGTAACTCAGCTGCAGCAGAAACTTGGAGTCTGCCAGTTTGCCTTCATGCAGTGTCTCCCTTGAGCTAGTGTATGGGGGAGAGCCCAGTGTCAAGAAGTGTACCTAGATTAGCGTGGCTAATAATATAGGAGTGTGCCTAGTATTGAGAGGTGACTGGGCAGTAAGCTGTAATATTAGGGGAGGTTAACCCAGGCTAGAGAAGGGGAGCTGTAACCCTCTGGGTCGTAAATTAAACAAGTGTCAGTTCATGCAGATTAGACAGTTCGACAGCCGGAAGGTGTGTGCTCACGATGTGAAATACGGCTTGCCGGCTGTGGGGCTGAGTAATGGGCGTCTCAGCCTATGCCCAGTGCTGGAATGTCCCCTGGTCTGTCGCAGCAGGCACCTCCAATGGAGCTTGTGGGCTCGGTTCCTGCTCCAGCGGTGTTCGGCATGACGGTCTCCTGTTCAGCAGTACAGCAGTCATCCAATGCTGTGTGGCATGGAGCTGTGCTGATCTGTGAGTCTTGGGTCGGGTGGGTGGCGTGCAGATGAGGCTTGCTTGATGCAGCAGCTCCCATGTGAGCGGGAGAGTCTGTCTGAGTGGCGTGTTGCTGTTTCCCGCTTTGTTGTCTGCAATGTCTGGAACACGCTCTGGAATCGTGTATTAAGTGCCCATATTGGCGTCGCCGGGTCACAGGGCGGATCCAGGAGGCCACTGTTTTGACTACTAGGAAGTAGGGCATTCCACGCTGGCAGAGCACTGACCAAAATCTCCTGCAGAGCTGATTGAAAGCCTCCAGAGATTGCATAGGTGGCTGGGTTAATGTGCTCTTTGTCTGCGGCTTGCGCTGAACCGCCATCTTGCGAGTGCCTCGTTAGTCCGTTGCCCCCGCAGATTATGTAGCCGGTACGCTTGTCAACAGTTCTGGTCTGAGTGTCCAGTGGGGACCGGGATAACCCCCACCGGTCCGAGGGTGATGGTGTCGGGGGGAGCGTCCGCCTCTCCCCGGCTCAAGTCCCAGTAGGCCGCACGTGGCGTTCTGTCCCGACGGGCTCCAGAAAGGTGTTGCTTGATTCAGTGGTGTGCCCCCGATCTGGGTGGTGCACCCTGGTAGTTCCTTGGGCTGTATAGCCACCGATTTTGCCCCAATTTCTGTCTGCCAGGCAGGAGCTTGTGTGACCCACGTCTGCTCTGCCTGGTGGTCAGGCTCCGCCCCCCCTATCTTTTCATTTTTGATGTATTGTGAAAACCTGTTCTAACATTTTAAAATGTCACTTAAAACGAGTTTGATTAAATCTTGATTAGTTAGGTGTTTGTTTTTCCAGGATAACCAATGCATAATAGGTATTGCTGTTCTACAACTACTGAAGGTGCCCCCTGGTTCTTACATTTTTTACATTTTTATACTACCCTTTTTAAAACCATACCTCAAATAGGTGTTAACATTGCAGATCCACTTGAAAAAGTTTGGGAACATACAATAAGGTGATGTTTTCTTGAAATATAAATGGAACCTTTTATATAGAATAAGAGCTCTGCACAATGTACTGCTCTTCTAGAGGTAGTTATGGGGAATGGTAAATGTGAGTGTTATTCTTGCTGCCATCTTGCTATTTTTAATGTCCTATTATTTCTTTCTTCTTTTTCTTTATAGGTCGGGAGCGGTTTCATGGCCTAGGGTCCATGTACTGCAGGGCAGCTTCTGCAGTCATCTTCACTTATGATGTTGCCTGCATGCAGAGCCTAATGGAGCTTGAAGAAAGATTCCTGAGTCTGACCGATACAGTCAGTGATGACTGCATTTATGCCGTAGTGGGGAACAAAATTGACCTTACCGATGGTGAAGGTGATGGAGATGAAGAAATAACTCCTTCTGGCAATTCCACCAAGATTCGCAAACAGGTTCATTTGGAAGATGCTTTTGCCTTGTATAAGAGAATAATAAAAACTAAAATGTTAGATGAAAATAATGTCCCGCCTGCAGAAAAAATGTGCTTTGAAACTAGCGCAAAGACTGGGCACAATGTTGACGCTCTATTTGAAGGAGTTTTCAGCATGGTTGTACCGTTCTTAAAAAAGAAAGGACCAGAGGATACTGTCAACCTTGAACACAGCAATCACCAGCTAGCAGGAAAGAAGGGTTGCTGTTAAATATCAAATTTTTTTTTTCTTTTTTCATAGCACTTCTCAAAAAAGTTACTGTTGTGGTTTTCAAGTCAATGAACTATTGTTTGAGTAATTCAAAATGAGCACTGCAAGGAACAGTAGACTTGTGGTTGAAGGTCATTTGAGGTTATATTGAACTACCTATTGGCGGATGGATATCAGCTATCTGCTGATTAGAGGATAGCAAATTAATCCGTCCTGTTTAGAGCCATGTGGCTTGTGCAGCTACAGCTTGTGGCTGACAAGTTAACAATCTGTGATCAATATTGCAGAAGCCTTTGTGTCCATGCTAGCTTAAAGTTGAAGAAAAGCATACACGTAAAGAGGATGTTCAGCTTTCTTGGTGGACATGCAACAGGTCATTTGCTTGATTGCCAACAAAAGATATAATTTAGCAAACCCTATGGTTGGATATCCTTGGTTAGAGAATCCATTATTTTTTATTAATGGCCTCAGCCTTCGTTATAAGCCCAAGTCTGTAAAGGTATTGTGTGGGTGTTTGCACAGCGGAACATGACTTCGCTGCAGATGCCTAGGATGCCCTATTAAGTTGCCTTATAATTATTTATCACCTTTTCCACTGATAAACACTTAACAGAAACTGTTAATTCTTTGAGTCATATTTTTATACATGTGCAGGGATCCTCACCATAATTCTAATTACAGATGGATAAATTATTAAACATTAGTAATACATTTATTTTCTTGTTCAAAGCATGTTTCATTTGTTATAGGAAATAAAATGCTAGGTGCAGCAAAGAAGCCTATTTAGCAAGCGTACATCCGTGTTAGTAAGGTTTCAAAATTACCATTCTTGCTAGTGTTTCTCTTTGTGATGTTTTCTTTCATTACCATTATTAGTAACCAGAGCTTCTCTGCTGGAAACTCTGCCATCTAGTGGCTCATCATATCTTTTTATAGAAAAATAAGAGTACTTGCATCATTCTCCTTGTTTGAATGTTATTTGACATTACCACCACTGACCTGTTGAGGTGAATTCAGCAATGGAATGGACACTAGTTCACTGAAACCTTAGATAACTTAATTTTTTTTTAAAGCTACCTTTTTTTTAAAAAAAAAAAAGATGTGTATTGCAACTGTAACTTTTTATTTTTTTGCCTATTCACAGTTAACCTGGCATCTATATATTGTATGGATGGTGGGGTACAACTTTTGATTAGTATAAATTCAATCTACATACTGTTCTGGTGATTATTATTAAAAATGTGGCCTTAACTAAAGTTCATTTCCTTCATGGTGCCCTGAAGTGGACCTAAATTCACATTCAGCCCCCATCTTCCAAATCATATGGTTAGCATTTCACTAATTCTAGAGTGCATCACTTGATCCAGGTAGGTAATAATTAAACACTAAAATAATAATTAGTTGGAATAGTTATTTAAAGTGACAACAACAGTCATGCTGGTCCTATTTAAAAAAAAAAAAAAAATACAATAAAAAACATAGACTATTCTGCCATGAGCTCATACATGTCTGAAAATAAAACTATAACTCCTAGCAAGCAAGGCTGCCAGAAGCTGCAGAATGAAGACAGCAGTGACCAAGGAGCACTTTTCATTTTCCTCTAGGATGTGTCCTGCTCTTCACTTTGTAATAAAATTTTAATAAAATCTCAATTTGTTTTTTTTTATTGTAACTGTGTGGTCAAAGTCACGGGTAATCAATTTTTGCTAAATTTGTCTATGGAATTCTATCAGTAAAACTCAAAAAGCTACAGCGGTGTGTTTTTATAGTAGCCCCTGACTCATGGGCTTAAAAAGTCCTTGTAAAAGTAAATATTCCCACATGTTAATTCTTTCTATTTGTTAGAATTTTTGGAATGTCTTATTATTTTTTGTGTGTGTGTATATGTTCAGGTGTGCAGTAACTAACCAAATATAATTAATATTCATAATGACAAAGTCTAAACTGTAATCCTGTATTACTGACTAAATCTTATTTTAAAGATGTGATGTGGCTACTTGCTTTATGTTCTTTAGAGGGATCACAATTGCACTACCATGTTTGGTAAGGTTACAGTTAGTTATTCTATTTCTTGTTTGGGGTTTTATTCTTTCTCTATCCATTATATTCCAGTTTTCATGGCTTGTAGTGTGTCCGCTTTCTGTTAGCTACTGAACTACAACTCACAGAAACCATTGCAGAGTCTCAAAAACACTGCTTCTGGGAAAAGAAAAAAGCTCAGCAATACTATCTATTTGTCCATCTAAATTTGTATTTTTAGAACACTTACCATATCTCTGCATTTCATGTATTAAACATATATATAGGGCAAATCTAGTCTGGAACTTCTATAACAATTTAGTGTGGCCATGTGAGTCCATCAATTTTAGCAAACCTTATGTTGCTAGTTCTTTTGCAAGCCACCCTCTTACAAATTAGAATTGGCTAATATTGGCTCTTAACTGATTTATTTACATTAAAAGGATACTTTAAGCACCAAATTAATTGCTATTTACAAGCCAAATCACTTTTGTTTTTGTTTATGCAGCCCAAGCTGCACCTCCCATAGCTCACACATCATGTAAAAAGTTAATTTTTAATACCACGGTGTGTTTACTTAAGAGTTTTTTGGTTTTTTTTTAAATTTCCTTTTCTGCTAACTGGCCTTTAATCACACAATGGCTCTAGCAGGCATTTAACAGAGCAGGAGGTTAAAAATGAAACACACTGTGCAATAAAGGAAGCTTACAGATTAGACCACTCTTTACAGGACGTGTGCAGTAAGTGGTGTTGTGGTTAATGCTTTATTAGCAAAGTAATTTAACTACTAAATTGCAGTGAATTTATATACGAGCTAGTAGAAGTAGGATCTGCTTCATTTATCTAAAGTTGTTTTGGTGCATAGTGTTTCTTTAATTTCTCACTTTAATGTGCAACGTATGCATGGTTTGGAAAGGATTGAAATTTTGTAGCTCAGTGTTTATCCTTTAATATATTTTCACTGGCCTTTCTAGCTGACGAGAATTAAACGTATGCCTGCAGTGTGCTACTTGCAGTGTGCTGTTGCATGTAAATCGTCAAGTCTAAGTGGATTGTACATTATCCCCATGATAAATAGCTAGTGAGAATGGTAGAACACCACTCTTTTTTTTTTGTGAGGATGTGTGCAGCTGCTGTAACCTATGGCATTGTCCAACTTGGAAGAAGCAAAATCCAGTTTCAGGTTTGGCAATCATCAAACTCCTTTTTTTCCCCCCACTGAATGAGGAATTGTAAGACTTTTTAAATATTAGACAAACCATTTTGAAAACCTTTTCCAAATCTGCTACTCTTCTATGTATAAAATTTGCAATTTCTTTGTCAATGCTTCACAGTTCCCTGTTTTGTAAAAAGGTGTACTATGTGTATGCACATACTCGCCTACTTGACCTCAACGTCCACATGGTTTGTGGGCAGGAATCTGTTTAACAAAGTAAGTATTTGTGAAAGATTAACAACAGAAGTGATGCTGATACTGTATTTAAAAGGCAGAAGTTATGAAACAGGCAGCTATATACCATTGGTCATATGATATGTTTTTTTTCTTTGTAATGCTGTCTGTTCATAGTTTTCACATGCATTTTGAAAATGCACAATCTTGTGAGGTAATGGGGAATTTATAATTAAGCTACCAAAATAGAACAAATTACAAACCGAATACAAGACTGAGCACTTTAACCATTCATAATGATAAATTGGATCATATGTTTTACACTGTTGGTAAGTTTTAAAGTGTCTCAGAATCCTGCTGTAGTCAATAAACAGAGCATTCAGAAAGTATTTTTTATGTTGTAGCCTTATGCCACAATTTTTTTAAAAACTTTTTTTTCCCCCTCACATCTATCTACACTCTAAATAAATAAAATAATATAAAAGGAAACTTTGCATATTTATAGAGCATAAACCACTGAACTGACACATTGACATCAGTATTCTGACCTTTTTCTATGAAACTTGGCATTTTGTGCAGAAGCATTCCATTTCTCTGGATCATCTCAGATGGTTGTTTACTTTGATTTAAGGCCATCTGTGGGACATTCAATTGATTGGATATGATTTGGTAAAGCACACACCTATCTATGTAAAGTCTCACATCTATAAATGCATATCAGAGTCATCAGGTCAAACAAATTCATGGGAAGGATTGTGTTAAAGCTCAAAATAATTTTATCTGCACTGAAGGCTCCCAAGAGCACAGTGGCCCTTTATAATTCTTAAATTGAAGATATTTAGAACAATCAGAACTCTTCCTAAAACTGGCTGCCCACCCAGACTGAACAAAATGGGGGTAAGAGCCTTTCTAAGAGAGGTGATCAAAAACCCAATGGTCACTCTGGATGAGTTCCAAAGATCATGTGTGGCAGCCTCTCTTCACTGTAAGACAGATGAAATCCCACTTGAAATTTGCAACAACAAAAAAAAAAGCACGGACTCTTTGACTCTGAGAAATGAGACTGTCTGCCCTGATGATTTGAGCATTGAACTGTTTGGCCTCAATTCAAAATGTCATGTCTTGGAAAAAAAAAAAAAAAAAGCTGCACAATATTGTCCCACAGTGAAGCACAGTGTTGGTAGCACCCCATGTTTTGTAAAAATGGTGTTTGCTGTAAAAACACAGCAAAATACTGCAATATCTCTAATGAAAACCTGGTCCAGAGCACTCAGGACCTCAGACTGGGCCAAAGGTTCACAATACAAGTGGACAATGACCCTAAGCACACATCCAAGACCACACAAGAGTGGCTTAGAGACAACTCTTTAAATGTTGTCTCTAACCCAACATTACTGGAGAGACCTGAAAATGGCTGTCCAGCCAACAGTCTCCATCTAATCTCACAAAGCGTAAGAGGATCTTTAGAGATGAATGTCAGAAACTGCCCAAATCCAAAATGAATTGAGGCCGTAATCTTTGCCAAAAGTGTTTCAGCTAAGTACTAAGTTAATGGCCTGAATATTTATTTATTTATAAAATATTTTACCAGGAAGGATACATTGAGATTTCTCTCGTTTTCAAGTATGTCCTGTATGTCAATGTGATGTTTCATTTTTTTTTTATTTCTCATATACACTGATCAGTCACAACATTAAAACCACCAACAAGTGAATAACATTTATTATATCATTACAATGGCACCTGTCAAGGGGTGGGATATATTAAGCAGCAAGTGAAAAGTCACTTCTTGAATTTCATATGTTGGAAGCACAAAATAAATGGGTAAGATGTGAATGATTTTGATAAGGGTGGAATCTCCAAAACTGCAAGTGTGGTGCGCTGTTCCCTATTTGCAATGGTTAATACTTACCAAAAGTTGTGCTAGGAAGGACAACCAGTGAACCGATTTCAGGGTTATGGGTGCCCAAGACTCACTGATGCATGCGGGGAGCGAAGGCTAGCCTGCCTTGTCCGATTGCACAGAAGGGCTAACGTAGTTCAAATTGCTGAAGAGCAATGCTGGCTAGAATAGAAAGATGTTAGAACACACAGTGCATTGCAGTTTTCTGTATATGGGACTGTGTAGCTGCAGATTGGTCAAAGTGCTCATGATGACCGCTGTCCACCTCCAACAACACCTTCAATGGGAACATGAGCGTCAGAACTGCACTATGGTGCAATGGAATAAGTTTGCCTGATCTGATGAATCAAGTTTTCTTTTACATTAGGTAGATGGTCATGTGTATGTGCTTTGTTTACCTGGGGAAGAGATGGCAGCAGGATGCACTATGGGAAGAGTTATGCTCTGGGCAATGTTTTTGGAAAATTTTGGTGTCTCGTATCCTCCGTATCATGTGGAAAATAATGGAAATAATTACTTTCCAAAGATTGAGGGGAGTGCCGCTCGGCGGTCTTCTGCCATGATGCCTGGTTTGTGCGGCATGTCGGTGCACAGTAAAGACGACGTTGACATGCGGGTGACGTTACGCAAAAGATGCACATGCACGTTTTTTGGTTAAGGGCTAGGTACAGCCAATCGGATCTGCAAGAAAGTTATTTAAACTCACTTATTCCTTCGCTCATTGCCCTGTCGTGGTTTCCCTTACGTGATTATCCGAGAGTGTGTTCCTGTTCGTGTTATTCTGTTTTTTTACTTTGACCTTGTTTTGATTTCCTCGACTTCTGGTACTCTTGACTTTTGGCTTTTCCTTATCGCTGTGTCTTGTTCGGTGTCCCTGACCTCAGCTAGTTTTCTGACTATTCCCGGGTACGCTAAGTCATTCTAAGGTCTGGTTAGACGATACCCTTAGTTCTAGGGTGTGATACTATTCTGTTTGCTGGATCAATATAATCCTGACATTACGACATGGCCATAGATCCTGCAGATATGTGTCAGCACATATTAGCTTGTGAGAGAAAGCTAGAGGAGAATGATCACCGTATGGATCAATTTGCCCAAGCTTTCGATACGCTACTTATACGTACGGCTCATTTGCAGCCTGAGGTCCCTTTGGCAGGTACACCCCCACCTACTGTACCAACACCTATCATATAAGGCTACCTACTATCACCCTATCTTTACCCCACATTTTGAAGGTAATATTCATGAATGTCGGGGATTCCTTAATCAAATTGAGTACCATTTTGAAGCCTCACCTTGGTCTTTCCCCACGGATAGAGCTAAAATTGGGTACTTAGTGAACCAATTGCAAGGTAAAGCCTTAGCATGGGCCAATCCATTATGGGAGAGTAATAAGACTGTTGTCCATAATTACCAGGAATTCCTTGTGAAATTTGAATTAACGTTTGAACCATTGGGAAGGGAGAGCAACGCCTCCACTGCCCTAATGCATATCAAGCAAGGGAACCTGCCTGTCTCAGAGTATGCCATAGAATTCTGCACCCTGGCTTCTGAGGTAGACTGGATCAATAACGGATTAATCACCGCATTCTCAGAGGGATTATCCAAGACTATCCTTAATGAGATTACAGCCAAAGAACTACCAGGTAGATTAAATGAATAAATCCGTTACATGATGCATATATATAATTGACTTCGGAAAAGGGAGATAACTAGAAATAGAACCAGACATATGAATATGTCATTGGTACCTCGCTTCTCTAGTCCTGTTGTTTCTGGCCCTCCTGTGCAGTCTGAAACTGAACCTATGCAGTTAGGCGTTATGAGACTGTCAGAGGCAGAAAGACCGTTTAGGAGAAACGAGGGCCTTTGCTTATACTGTGGCAAGAAAGGACAAATGAGAAATGCTTGTCCCATACGTCTGGACAACTTGCGAACCCCTTAAGAACCTTAAGGGGACCGGTCTTAGGTGTGATAGATATGTCCCCTGGTACTACCCAAGGTAGATTTCTCCTTAATATTACTGCTATATGCAACAAGAAAAGTTTTTCATGTAAAGCCCTGATGGACTCCGGTGCTGCAGGAAACTTTTATCAACATACAATTTGTCAGTAAACACCTCCTACCGATCAAGGAGAGATCATTGATGGGATACCTCTCTCTTAACCTCTAATTACCCACGAAACTATGCCTATTACTGTTACTATAGGAGCATTACATAAAGTAATTGTTACATTTCTGATTGCTTCCCCTTCTTGTCCCATTATGCTAGGATTCCCATGGTTTGTTAAGCATATTTCTCATATTGACTGGGCTAAGGGGGAAATACTGGAATGGAGTAAAGAATGTAGTGAGAGATGTATGTTGCCCATTGCTAAAAGAGTGGGCATTGGTGCTCTACCTACTCCTACGCCTCAGCCTTACCGAAATTTCTGTGCAGTACTGGAAGTGTTTAGTAAAAGTCACACCGATACGCTACCTCCTCACAGATCTTATGACTGCTTCATAGATTTGTTACCTGGCACTATGCCACCTAAGGGGGCAGTTTATGCCTTATCACCACAGGAAAATAGGATTATGGAGGATTACATTATAATAAAAGATCACATACGTAAATCTTCTTCACCTGCAGGTGCGGGGTTCTTTTTTGTATCTAAGAAAGATGGAGTTATGGCCATGTATTGATTATGGGGCATTGAACAAAATCACCATCAAAAGTGCTTATCCCATTCCCCTTATCTCAATTGTTTGACAGACTCCAGGGCGCTAAGGTCACTTGAGTCCTGCAATTCTTGTGGATGTTAATTTGACACGTACCACCTACCTAGAGATTATTGCAAACCACATACATCCCTTCATGGCACCCTGCAACAGTTCAAAAAATGTTCAGGAATGGTTTGAGAAACATGACAAAGAGGGTAAGATGTTGTCTTGGCCTCCAAATTCCCAATATCTCAATGAGCATCTGTGGAATGTGCTGGAACAACAAATCAATGGAGGTTCCACCTTGCAACTTGCAAGACTTAAAAAATCTGCTGCTAAAGTCTTGGTGGTGTTTTGTGGAGTGCATGCTTTGACACATCAGGGCTGTTTTGCCAGCATGAGGTTGGCCTACACAACATTAGGCAGGTGGTGTTCATCTTGTGGTTGGTCAGTGTATTTTCACTGGTGTCAATAAAATTTAGATTTGTTACTAGTGGATATACAGTGTAAACTATGAGGCGTGTGGGGGGGGGGGAATAAAGAATTGCAACATAAGGTTAAAAAAATGTGAATGAAATTGAAGGAGTCTGAATACTTTCTGAATTTACTGTAGATGAGGCCTGTTTGCATATATCCTTGCTATTATGCAAAACCTACACATGCCTTATTACTCATCTCCCTCTGCGCCATGTTAGTGAATATTTATCTTGAAATTTTATTTTCAATTTATTGTGCTACTATATTATATACATGTGAATCATGGATGATAAAATAAAGATATTTTATTCATAAAAATTACAGCAACACAAAATGCTTGACAACCTCAAATAAAAAATAAAAAGTTATAGTGGTAATTATAAAATTGTAATATGAAGAACGTAATATACACTGATGTTACATGGAGAAATACTAGCGTAAATGGAAACAGTAATTTTTTCACCAATGTTAGGTAGAGCATTTGTTTTCTAAAGATACTTTTTTTTTTTTACATGTTTACTTGTTATAGGTTGTGGCAACAAATAAAATGTAACACGTTACATAACTGTACCACTAAAATAAAGCAAAGTGCCAAGAATATGATAGTGTTAAAAAATGTGTTCTGTATTTGAAGCCTATTCGCTAAACAGCAAACTGTTATGAGCTGATTATAGACTAGAAGAATTTACAGGAACACTCCAAGCACTGTAATGGTTTATGTGTCCTGACTGCCTCCTAGGGCAAGTATTCAACACTTTTGAGAACAGTTTAAAAACTTACCTGGGGTCTGCTGTTTACTGCACCCCTGTAACTGGATGCTCCTGCAAGTAGCTTCTATGACTGCTGTAAGTGCTAGCATGCAAGGGTGGCCCACTGACTGGAAAGTCTCAGATGATGAGCTCGTCACTGAACCACTGGGCATACCCCAAGTAAGTTTCTCAGATGGTTTGAATACTTATCACAGGAGGGTACTACTGGCACTATAGTAACGCTAGAGGTCTACAGTGGTTATGGTGCTTGAAGTGTAAAAAAACAAATTCATGCTGTGATAGACTCCCCAGTGCAGACTCCACCTCTTCTGAGATCATCAATTATGATGATCTTGATCTATTTAAAAGCTTCTCATAAACAAGCATTGTGGACAGTGGTGCATGGGTGGCAGTCGCCACACTCCACCACACCAATTGAAGCATTAACAGCATTGATGGTCTTCAATGGGGAAGTGCCTAGTCTGATACCCACTATAAACATGGATTAGGCAAAATGTTTTCCATACCAGAAAAAGCATAGGCCTATGCACCAAAAGCACTTCATTGAGATTAAGTGGTTTTGGTGCTTAGTGTCTATTTAACCTATATTGCCTGGTACATAATACATAAACTTGATATTTAGTCAGGGATATAGTCTTCAGTTGTAATATAGTTACTGAAAAACAGGAAAAAAAAGGTAAACATTCAGTTGCCTGGAGGCTTAATGTGATGGGACTGTTTCAACTGCTGGCAAACCACTTAAATGGCATAGAGACCTACGTATGGGTTCTGACCTAGAGTCATTTTTTCACTGATGCACCTTTTCGTAATATTGACTTTGTGATAACAGTAATAAGTATTGGTGATGCTCCCCTGGGTATAACAGATTAAATTGACATGTGAATGTAGAGAAGGCATGTCACACTGCAGTGATAGGAGATATATATATATATATATATCTCCTAATTCTTTAGAAATTAAAATAAAAGAATCACAATGGAAAATATAATAGCATATATGTAACTACATCTTCAAGTTTATTGATTAGATTCTGACATGTTTTTGGTTTTCATTTTAGTTGCTAAAAAAAGTGTTAAGGTTAGAACTTTTATGGAGGAATTTAACTTTGTTACTATAATCTTTGTTTCTAATGATCGTGTACTGGTAGGCATGCCAGGCACAATATGTGTAGACCTTACTGTTATTTTCGCAGTGTTTATGAAAGCCCAATATAGTGTCCTTTTTTGCAACTAACATACATTGCTAAGACTATAACAACACAAATAATATGTACACAATGTACGTATGTATATAATACTACAATAGAAATTCGTCAACCACTTTGGAAGCTGAAACATTGGCTTAATCTAAGCGTCAAAGTATTGTTTATTATTGATTTTATTTTCTAAAGGAGAGTGCTTTTTGAATCTGTTGTTAGATTAAATAAGTCAACAAAAGTACACTTTGGACTATGGTAATGCATTTACACAATATGAAGAAAAAATTGATCTATCATATTTTCCTGAATATTGGATGCAGGTTTGTTTAAGCCAAATTTAGGGTGAAAAAAAATCATCCTCACTGTGCCAATGCAGGCCTCTTTTGCAGGAGTGGGAGCCCGTATTACATTTCCTACTTTATTAAACACACACCACATTCCCATTACCAGGTGTAGGCAATATTTAGCACTTTGAGATTATGGCTGTAAGAACATTATGTAGGATGTTGTCCAGAGCATTTGGAGTGCCGAGGGGTGAGACACACACAGACAAACACACACGCATGCACCACCACCACCCCTCATACCCCCACCACTGGTTGTTTTTTTTCTTCTAACTTTTTAGTTGAACTATATGGGTGCGTCTTATGTGCAGGTGCATCTTGTATTCTGAAAAATACAGTGTTTATTCTTTAGGAGGACACAGTGTTTACATTTTCATATAGAAGGCTTTTTCTTGCTGCATAACAATGCAGTAATGGCTATGGAATAGCAATGTCATAAAAATGTTTATGAAGTGAATACATATATATATTTTTTTTGCTTATTACTAGATTATGCTAAAGGAAAAACTTATTGTAACATGGGAAAAACTTCAAATGAGTTGTATGTTTAGGTAAAATAAATAATATATAAAATATGTATTTCAAAATAATTTTAGGCTCACTTTGCAATTTCTTGGCTTCTGGCAGGTTACTCAGTAAGTTACAAGCAGAGCGGTTCACTCATACACAAGAAGTCGATACTAATACAGAGGATCTTTTACAAGCAAGAAAAACTTAATTTGATGTAAAGCTTAGTGCATATTGTGGGTAGTAGGCAAGATATGCACGTCAGAATATTATATTCAAATTCAAGGTGGTGAGGTAATAAGTTAAAGTTTAGCACCAATATAAATTTTGTTTAGTGTTTATCTTTTTAATAAAAAAAAATGAGATTTTCTATTGTTTTTTTTGTTTTGTTACAAATTCTTCATGCAGACTTGGCATCGGCTGATATGAGTTCGAATCAGCCCTGCTTTCAATGTATCTGCAGAGGGTGAACTCTGGAATGTCTTATCAATAGTGGTAAGCCAGAAGCTATATTTGTTTGCAAAGTAGTGGCAGGTTCCACGAGCGCCATTACATTCAATGAACGGTGTAGCTCTGAAGTCTTCTAAACAGCTACCTGGGGAAGAGAGGGACTGTCCACCACCCTCATCTCCTGCTGCCGTGTGCTGTAGCAAAGAAAGGAGAGTAAAGTGTTAGGACTAAAGACTAATGCAAACATAGACCTTTGCTGTCCCAGCAGAAATTGACTCTGACTCTCATTGTTTTATAAAACAAACAGCTTGACCTTTAGTTTTTATCATTATGCATGGACTAGACACATTATATTGGAATAGTTTTTAAAATACTACTTAGAGCACTGATGTTTCATCAGATATATGGGACTTGAACAGAAGTGATGCCATCAGGAGCAATCTTTTGATGTGGACAAAGCTACTACATATTAATTAATCTGGCCAAAGATGTATGCATTTATAATAAATGTAGACTAGTGTATGGAAACTAGAGCTCCACAAATCTATTTATTGTTTATAAATGCATGCACAATACTACCAAACCCCAAAATATCAAGCTTGCAGACTGAAATCAAGCACACACAAAATATAAAAACAAAAGTAATACCATGAGGAATGAGTATCCGATCCATAAACTCCTCCAGCCTGATGGACATAGTGGAATGGACATATCTTGACTGTGGACAGCGACTGCCACTGCTGGGGCCTCACATACAGAACAGCGGCTAATGTACGGTTTAATCTCATCTTCAACCACTGGCATCATGGGAAGAGGTGCAGTGGTTGAGAGCCAGTAGGATTTATCATTCCGGCTGGCATAGTAACACACGTCACCAGGGTTGCAGTATAGGAAAGGCATTGTACTGAAACGTTGCAAACACGACCCAGCTAAACCTGTAAAAACAAACCACACACCCACCCTTATTTTCAGCATATATAAGTATCAAACAGGCATGTGCCGCTTGATAAATAATGGTACCATCCTGTAAATATTATTATTATTTATAAACTGCTAACAAATTCCACATCATTGTACAATAGGTGGACTAACAGACTAGTATTTGAAACAAGACGAGTTGGATGCACAGGAACAGAAGGTGTTGAGGGCCCTGCTCAAATGAGCTTACGTTCTAGAGGGAGTGGGGTAAAGTGGAACATGGGGTAAGGGTAGGATATATTCCATGTATGGGTAAAAATAGGTCACTAGAATAGTTTACAGTGAAGTTCATTGGAGAGGAAGCAGGGTAGGTGAACAAGGAGGGAAGTCTGCTATAAACAGTTTAATTGATATGCTTTCCTAAAGATGTGAGTTTTTAATGATCTATTGAAGGAACTGAGACTTAGTGAGAGTCTAACGAAGCACGGAAGGAAGTTCCATAGGAATGGCTCAGTCCTAGAGAACTCTTGAAGGTGGGCGTCAGAGGTGCGAGTACGAACAGAGAATAGATGCATATCTTTGGCAGAGCGTAGGGGCATGACGGGGCATATTTGTGTATTAGTGAGGATAGGTAGGTTGGAGCAATGTTATGTAGAGATTTATAAGCAAGCACCAGAATTTTAAATTGAGCCCTATATTTTACAGGAAACCAGTGTAACGACTGACAGAATATCATAAAAGAATGTTTGTGTTTTCTTGTATGTCTAAGACAGGTGAATCTGCATACACCACAATAGTTAAAATTAATTATGTTGTTTCAAAAGTGTACACAACATACAACTTTGGTGAATATGTTTTTTTCTGTAAAATAACAGTAAGTATATTAATACCCAAGTCTTGGTTGTGTGCCTTTTCTTGCCCTTCAAAGTATAATAGACTGTATCCACTCCAGAGCTTGGCCATGCCGACAGGACACATTGGTTCTTGATCAGTCTGGCTGTGCTTTACTAGAAGATAACCAATGTTGACACTTCTTCCAGGCATACCGGGTAGTCCTACATTCCCTGGTGGACCAGGGGTACCTGAAAAACATAGACAGTATTACAGCTCCTGCACAGACACATGCATCTAATTACTGTCATCCTAATGTTAAAAAAATAGATTTCCAATGTGTCACAGTAAAAATAATGACTAAAATTAGCTTAAGATATTATTGCCATGCTCTCTTCATTAATTTTTCTTGCCGTAAAATAAATATTGTAGATGCAGTTAGATTTCCAATGTCAAGATAGGTGAGGCCATGCATTTTCTTTAGTAGCTGGTAGGGTATAATTACTATGGGGAGATGTTAAATACAAAGTTAATGTTGCGTTCTCAGTCCAAATAATATTTTACTGTGAATGGAAATGAGCATATCAATTTTTGCTCCTGAGAAACATTACTATGAAATGCTCAAAAAAAAACATATATATATATATATATATATATATATATATATATATATATATATATATATATATAGCGTATATTACCACCTGCACATTACCACCAACCCTATTCACCTTCAAAACCCACTGGCCCTCTTTGTCCTATTAGTCCTTCTTCTCCTCGATAGCCAGGTGTAGCAGGCCAGCCTTGTCTGCCAGGCAGTCCTTCTCTACCACGGTCACCTCGCACACCTAAAAAGACAGAAAAACATGTGGCATGTGACAGAAAAGCAATACTATGTTGTCTAAGTAATTCTAGAAAAATGATTTTATTATTAATATAAGCATACCTTGATCTCCGGGAGGACCTTTAGGTCCCCTTTCACCTCGCGTTCCTTCAGGACCAACAATTCCATGTACCCCAGGAAGTCCTCTGTCCACTATCATCTGCATGGGCTTTGGAAGCTCTCCTTCTGCTCCTGGAGCACCTTGCAATCCTTTTAAAAGGAATGGGAACTTTATTTATGTTTGCTAATTTATATACAGTTAATGTGTACCTTCATGGTACTTTATAGACGTTTAATGTGATTTGCACTTCAAATGCAGCATGTGTATAAGGGTATGTTATTTACTAAATTGTGAATTGTCAGGAATTCAACATGAATTTAAAGTTTTAGGCCAAAATAGCTGCAGTTGTCCTGACAGCCGCCAGCTTTTAATGTGTATATGTATTATATATATTTTTTTCCAAAATGGTGCAGATCAATTTGACCAGCACCATTTGATCTATTTATATATGTTATGCGGCAGTTAGAAGGCTGCCCACTATAGATTATCCCCACGATTGGTGGTAATGTGCAGTGACACTTATTACTGCTTTTTCCTCGATATCCTCCTAATGAACAGAGTTTGTGGGTGGGTGGGTGATGTGACAGATGTGACATCACAGACCCCACTCACTAGAATAAAAAAAAAGTGGAGGGGTAGAGCTATGGAGGACCTGCCAATTGCTCTCTCACAATGTGGCTCATATACCATACTCCCAACTTTTCAACTTGACAAAGAGGAACGCTTGAATTTTAGGGGTGTGGTCAGGGGTGGGGCTGCTCTAAGGAATTTTAGGTGACTTACTAATAATTTAAGCAACTAAAATGTAATTTAGAACTAGAGCAATGTGTCTTATTTACACAGACTGATTTCTAAACACATTTATAGCAGTTTAAAGACACATTACTGGGAGTGTTATTGCTGGGAGCTCTGTTATACACTCAGACACACCAACAATATAGAGTTCCTAGAAAAGAAGGACATTACTATAGAAAAGAGGGACAAGGGTATTTGTGCCCAAAATACTATGTACAGAAAAAGGTGACTACGCTGCCCTAAAAGAGGGTTACCCTCTGTCAATAAATATGAGAACAAGTCAGCTGCGTTCCACAAAAAAATTCAACTTTTTACAACCAACGAACAAAAGTTCAAAATATAATTTATTGATCCTTGCATATATATAAGGCCAGTATTTATAACAATGTTTGCTATTTCTGTTAATATCGTTAAAAAAAAACAAACTGCAGAAATATTACATCATTATAAAAATTCAATATAAGAAAAAAATACTGGGACTTGAACTTCCCTGTCCTCTGCCAGGCTTTCTAGCAGTTTCTTATGTAGTTTAATGGAAAAAAAATAGTTTTTACTTCCTTTTGGTGAGTAAAGCAGGGAAGTGAGAATGTCTTTTTCCAGTAGCAACCTTGTCTCAAACACATTTCCCCATAAACTAGGCTTTGTCTGTTGCAAGTGTCTTTATAAATGTTACTGCTAGTCACATGTTTCTCAGTTTATTTCTAATTGGTTGGTTGCTAGTATGCTTGTGTTATGCAGTTCCCCTGTTCACCTAGGAGCCTGTTTTAAATCAATTAACTTCTCTAGTCAGCGTAACCTTGATTTCGTCAGAAAAAAAAAGTAATGAGGCTTTACGTATCATGCACCCAAGACGTAGCTATATTATTGTGTCTGCCACCTGATATATGTTTTCTTTACTTCTTCTCTCCTACAAATGTCTGTGGGAGTTAAAAGGTTACATGTTTTGTTTTCCTACTCCGTATGATAAAATTTCTTAGTTTTGTTTTTGTTGGTAATTGTTCAATTTATGAAAAGAGAGAAGGTGGGGCAGCGCTATAAAACAAAGGAGAGAGGGCAGTACACCTAAAAAGGGAAAATTCTCTCCAAAACAGTAGTGTGAATAGGCAAAAATATTGGGTGTGCCAATGGAGAAATAAACACTAAATATAGTTATATATCTGAAAAGAGACTTGCGTCCATCAAGTTCAGCCTTCCTCACATTTGTTTTTGCTGTTGATCCAAAAGAAGTGTTTATTTCTCCATTGGCGCATCCTATATTTTTGCCTATTCACACAATTGTTCAATTTATCTCTGTCAGATTTGGTTCTGATTCATTTTCTCTCTTTTACTTTTCCCTTCTCCTTTCCCCTCCCCTTTTTCTTTCCTTTTATACTTTAGTTCCATTATATTCCATTAATATACACCATATATTCATGTCTTCACTATCAACACTTGTATGTGTAAATAATTGTTGTTGTAGTTCTTTAAAAATGAAAAGGGGGTAGGGAGAAAAAAAAATAGTTATTGGTCCAAGAAATGACAAAGTAAAAATTCTACATTTAGACCACTTGGGTGTAGCCAGCGCTGTATTTACCACAAGGCTAACAATGCCTTTGCCTGGGGTGGCACTTTCCAGGGGGCGGCAAAAAATGATGCTCCAAAGTGTGCTTGTCAGTGTATCTGAGCGTGTGTGACTATCACTGAGTGGGTGGGTCCGTGTGTGTCTGTTGGTCTTTAACGGGAAGAAGTGTGGTCTTGACAAGAAGGGAAAGGGCAAATTTAAATTAGGGTGTACCTAAGTTCCGTCATGCCTAGGGCAGCAGAGATCCAAAATATAGCACTGGTTGTAGCGTCTTTAAAAGGGAGATCCACTCCATTTCTATTCTACCAAGTTCCCTAACACCTTTATGAGTTTTCCTTTTAGTGTTCTTGCAAGAAATGCAATTGTTGCATGCATAAAAGTTTTTCTTCCTACTTCTGGTATTCAGTTTCTTCATTGAGTCTCTATGACTTATTTTGAAGACCATTTTAAATTTTGTATTGTATTTATAATGCTGGTAATATCTTCTGAGTGAGAAGGTATTGTATTTACAATGCTGGTGGGATTTTTCAAGTAAGAATCTTCTCATACGATACAAAATTTCAGATGGTCTTCAGAGCACTATTTAGTAGTGGCAGATGTGACATTACTCTATACTATAAAAGATCATGAACAAGCATGTAATGCCGTATACAATGCACTTCAATCAGCCAAAAAACTGGAAGACACTCAGAATTCATCGCGAAAGGAATAGAATTTACTCTGAACCACAACTACTTCTGGTTTGAAGACAAATACTACATACAAAAGAAAGGAATGGCGATGGGGACAGAATTTGCCCCAGCTTTGCAAACTTATTCATGTGTGAAAAGATCATAAGTGGAGAGACAACATCAGTGTATATAAAAGATACATAGAGGATATCATTCTCATCTGGAAAGAAGAGAGTAATAGTTTAGAGTAATTCTTAAAATATTTGAACTTAAAACACTTTGGGTGTGAAACTAACAACTACACACAGCAAGATATCAGTAGAATCATACCTTTTATATATAAACGAAAAAAGAAGAACTGAAAAAAGACTTTTTTAAAAAAAAAGAGGTTGATGTTAACAGCTTTATCCTAAAGAAGAGCTACCCACCATGGCTGAAAAACTTACCTAATAATGAATTTAAGAGACTAAGGCACAATTGTACAGACAAAGAAGTATACTTGGAACAAGCAGAGATCATGAAACAAATTCTTAGAAAAATAATTTAAAGAAGAGGAACTGATCACAGCAATAAAGGAAGTGGAAGATCCACTATGACAATCAAATATCCAGAATAATATCCCCCCATTTTTTCTTGATTATAATCAAGAAATTGTGCTCCTAAAATGAATAATTAACAGACATTGGAATCTGCTAAGGAAAGACAAGATTCTACAGAAGAACATTCAGTTTAAACCGAGCAATAACTTCAGAGGCGCAAAAAACATTAAAAGCAAATTAATAAGAAGTCATAGAGAAGTTCCAATGAAGAAACTGAATACCAGAAGTAGGAAGAAAGGCTTTTGTAGAAACAACAATTGCATTTCTTGGAAGAACATTAAAAGGAAAACTCTTAAAGGTGTCCAAAGATTGCTTCGACACATACAAAAGAAACTTTCAAAATAAAATATTTCCTCGCATGTGATAACAGTAATGTAATATATGTCCTCAGATGCCCATGTGGACTGTAATACGTGGATAGAACCACCATAAAACTCACCACCAAAATACGTGAACATATGCACAACATCACTATTGTGAGCACTCAGCCCTCAGCACTCAGTATCGGCACATTTTGCAGAAATGCATGACGCTGATGCCAGTCTCCTAGACTTTGAAGCTATCTGTCATGTGACAAAAAATTGGAGAGGAGGGGACCATATTAGGGAACTTGGTAGAAAAGAAATTTAGTGGATCTTCCTATTAAACACACTACAACCGAATGGTCTAAATGTAGAATTTGCACTTTGTCGTTTATTGGACCAATAACTACTCTGTAGTGAAAAACTAGATCTGTCTATAATCTTGAATGGTTTCTTAGTTTTTTGTTGTTTTTTCTTTTTTAATGAATTACAACAATTATTTACACATACAAGTGTTGATAGTGTGGACTGTAGACTGTAAGCTCGTTTGAGCAGGGTCCTCTTCAACCTATTGTTCCTGTAAGTTTTCTTGTAATTGTCCTATTTATAGTTAAATCCCCCTTCTCATAATATTGTAAAGCGCTATGGAATCTGTTGGCGCTATATAAATGGCAATAATAATAATAATAATAATAGTGAAGACATGGTATATTAATGGAATATAATTTGGCACTAAAGTATAAAAGGAAAGGAAAACGGAAGGGGAAAGGAGAAGGGAAAAGTAAAAAAAAAAAAAGAAAATGAATCAGAACCAAATCTGACTGAGATACATTTTTAATTACCAACAAAAACCAAACTAAACAATTTGGTCATAAGGAGTAGAAAAAAACAACAAGTGTGTATCCTTTTAATTCCCATAGACATTTTCAGGAGAGAAGAAGTAAATAAAAATAAAATATATCAGATGGCCAACACAGGAATATAGCTACTTCTTGGGCACATATGTAAAGCCTCATGACTGGTTTTATTTTTGACAAAATCAAGTTCACACTGACTAGAGAAGGTAATTGACTTAAAACAGGCTCTTAGGTGAACAGGTGAACTGAATAATACTAGCATACTAGCGATTAACTTCCAACCAATTAAATATAAACTGAGCAACATGTGACTAGCAGTAACATCTGCATTCTGTTACTGTGTATCATTGACAAAGCCTAGTTTGAGACAAGGTTGCTACTGGAAAAGACCTTCTCACTATCCTGCTTCACACACCAAAGGGAAGTAAAACAATTTTTTTTTTTTTACTAAACTACCTCAGAAACTGCTGGAGAGCCTGACAGTGGACAATGGACGTTATGACAGGGAAGTGCAAGTCCCGGTACTTTTTTCTTCTATTGATCTATTATAATTAAATGTATTCATTTTAAAAAAATGTTTATATTTGCTTTTTTTTTCAGTTTTAAATGTTTGTGTGTTTTTTTTAATGATATTAACATAAATTACAAATATATATATAAATAAAATATAAGACGTACACTATAACAGCCACAATAATCAAGTGACATACACCTATATACCACAAAATTCTTACGAGCCCCAAGGCAGAAACACAAGTGACTAACTCCCCCAACGTTTCGGCTGGTAGCCTTTATCAAGGGTACCTGTCAGGCACCAGTTGGTGCCGAAATGTTGGGGGAGTTAGTGACTTGTGTTTCTCATATATATATTTGGATATTTAAACACTGGAGGGAGTGTTTATATAGCTTGCACTTGGCTGATTTAATTATAACTGTGTCTCTCCATGGGATTTTGTTTTTTGTATTAACATAAATTGCAAACATTGCTATAAAGAATTTTATACATGCGAGGATCAATAAATTACATTTTTAAGTTTTGTTGGTTGTTATCTTTGTACAAAAAGTTGAATATTTTTTGTAGGTTATGATACGCAACTCAGTTGTTCACATATTTGACAGAGGGTATGTCTATATTAGAGAAAGCGCTGTCCCCCTTTTCTGAATATTTTTCCACATATTTAGGTTAGATGTATTTTCCTAATTGGACTAGCTGCCTCTCTAGTTTTATCCATTTCCCACCCCCCACCCCCTTTTTTTTGCTCTGCTCCACTATTTTTCTTATAGGGGTACTTGGGATGTATGATTTCCTGTATACATTTGGCAGTATTCCTGACATTATCCTCCATTGGCAAAGTAAGCTGACTGAAGATCTATTATTGATCTACAAATGGCAAGCAAGCACACTGTAATAGTAATATTGCCACTTACCAGTAGGCCCTGTGTCACCCTTGGGTCCTTTAGGTCCCCTGTCCCCAGTTGGTCCAATGACACCAGTAAACCCCATAACTCCTTGGTCCCCGTTTTGACCTGAGGATATAACAGATACATGGACATTTTAAAAGTGTACTTTGATGCAAAACAAAGCAGCCATGAGCTGTAAATAGAAACATTCACTGTACCCTTTAGTCCAGAAACACCAGTAATTCCAGTCTCTCCCGGTTTACCAACATCGCCAGGGACTCCTTTGAATCCAAAATTTCCCTGTAGGCCTACTAATCCTTCTTCTCCTTTTCTTCCTGGCCAGGAGGACAGACCAGGAATACCCCGTGGACCAGGTGAACCTGAAATAAATTTCAGTTAGATCAGTAAACTAGAAGTCAAAGAAATGGTTAGTATTGCATATTGTAAAGTAATGCACCACAAATAAACCAAAACCAAGAAACAAAACTCTCCTTTTCTTGCCGTTCATTAACTGTAATTCTTTAAGCCAAAAATTAACATGTGATTGTGTAATTTATACCTGTTTTACAACGGCTCGCACTTACGACCAGCATTGTAGCGTGGGGATTCAAGGAAGTCCCCACTTTAGAGAGTTGGTCTATGTTGGGGAATTTTCCCGGAACATGGATTTTAGCGATTCCCTGCACTAGTGAACTGGTCTATGTTCAAGGGAATTGACCCGAACGTAGACCTGCTCTCTTGCACATGCTCGCAAGTGCATCCTCACTTACCGACCAACTAGTTTAATGACCGGGACGGAAGAACGGAACCCGGACGGTAAGTGAGGAGTGTCTGTAACTTGTATTTATTTATTGAATCAATGCTCTAACCGCCACATTCACAATTGTGCACTTTAAGTCGTCAAACCATTTTATGTAGTCAAACCAAATTAGAATGATTTGACTTCTTACCTGGGGTCCACTGGGCACTGGTCCATGCCTCAACTACGTCAGGGTCAGAAGCTCTCTGAGCTAAGCCTGGTGGTGCAAGGTTTAGTTCATAGACTGAGAGCAATGAGCTGATAATCTCAGCCAATGAACTATCCCTGCACGCCAGGGCTTATCTCAGAAGAGCTAAAAGAATCCCCTAAGCAGGAGCTTCTAGCTCTGTCAGCAGTAGTGACGTTAGAGAGCAGTGCACCGCAAACCCTAGGTAAGAAGTCAAAATGGTTTGTCTACATACAATTCAGGGATGCCAGGGCTCCCCTGGCATTATAAGAGCTACAGTGGGCTGTAGTGGTGGGAGTGGTCATGGTGCGTGGAGTTTATTGAAAAACTGTACATTAGTGGATACTCATCCCAGAAAATTCTGGTTTACAGAAATAGGTACTTTTTATCATAGCAAGACTTGCTCACTAAAAGTGCTGGGCATGTGCCAGCATCCTATCACTTTTACCCAAAATATGGGTAGTCTAATGAAGCAAATTTCTGCGTTAGCATTAGCAAATTTCTGCATTAGCACAGCCACATCAGAGGGGCCAATGTATCAAGTGACAAGGGAGCCTCATTTTGTATCAAATTAATTAAAGAAGTTTTGGCACAAGTCGACAGGGATGGCACCCACAGAGTCTTTGTACTAGAAAATCAGCTGTGGTAGTTATAGTGCTTACAGCACACCCTTACAGTGTATGTAGTGATCAACTGTTACATTGTTATACCTTTGGTGATCAACAACACACACACTATACTTTGGCAGTTAAAAGTGTAGATTGGGCTATTTATGAGAGCTCAAAGAAATAGTCTTTCAGAGATGCCCCTCGCAAGCAGTTGCTCAGACAGCATCCTCCATCAATCATACATCTCTCACTTGCAGCCAGCCTGGTATCTTCGATTTGAAAGCGTACATAGCATAATTGCACCGATTGCATCGTATACCATTGATAACTGTTACATTATTGCTTATTTTTTCAGCTGTTGAATTGTTACATTATTGTTCATATTAGGGACTGTTTCATTATTAGTATAAGCTTCTATGTAAAAGGGCACAACTTCCTTTTGATTGTTTTCTGTTCTTCTTGGGCTAGAAATTGAAAGCATTAGCATTAACATATTGCTGCTTACTGTTTGAGTTATGTGATATATATTATATGTTTTATTTTATCTTTAATTTTGTTATTTTTTTTTATTTATTTTTTACGTACTTCATTTTCATGGGGAATTTTGCAGACCCTGCGTTTATTATTTCTGTAAAGACCTTAGTTATGTATTTTGCTAAAGCCCAGATAATAGTAGCATATGAACAGATATATTATTGTTTCTGCTGCAGGTATTAGACACTGCTGGATTATTAGAAGTTTCTGTGTAAAAGGATAAAGCTTCCTTTATTGTTATTTGTACTGATTTAAATATTACCAGCACATTTGGCAAATGTTGGTGATAAAATAATACTAATGAAGGTGTCAAAAAGCTTGTATTTTTATACCCTGGTGGGTTTACATTTTAGTAGTTAACCATTTGTAAAGACCGAGCTTTAGAACTGCAATCCAGACCTTGCATATAAGTCCTATAACTTCCAAAAATTCGTTGAAATGCTAGATATATGCAGCATTTCAGCAATCAGGACTAAAAAGTAAATATATTTTAACTTATTTTATTTTTTTTTCAGTAAAACTAGACGTGTAGAAATTCTAATATGGAAAACTGAAAAAAAAGTTTTATTTAAATTTTTAAAAATTTCTCAATATTTTACTCATGCTTAACATTGTGTTATGTATGCTAATAAGGTGTCAGGAAATAAATGCAATTTATACCCTTCAAAGAACCATACATAACATGTATGGTTCACTCAAAAGAATAGTTAGATTATGGTGGAATAAACACATAGCAAAAGTGTTAATAAGGTCATGATTGTGAATTCACTGAATATCGGATTACGTCTTGTATGTGAGGGAGTTGATAACTACCCATGTACAGCCAAAGCAAAACAAAGATGTTACCTGGTGAACCACTTGGCCCTGGAAATCCCACGTCTCCAGGAATTCCGGATCTATTGAACAACCCAGGGAGCCCACGAGGTCCAGGAATGCCAGGAGAACCAATATTGCCAGGTAGACCTAGAAGACAAAAGAAGGCCAGGTCCTAAGATTCAAATGAGCATAAATTCCGTGATACAGAATAAATTCCAGAACAAATAAAGATGCTGTTTTATGAGTAAGCTTGTAAGTTGGTATTAAAGAAAAATTGTCATCATATCAGATCAAGGCCACCAATTTCTTCCATGAACAGTTCCACCAAACATGCTTTTTTAACTTATATTATCAGTGTAGATTTAACTAAATTATTATTGTTAGGAATATTCTGCATGCGATTTAGCTAGACAAAACATATGTATAACATCATGGTGGAGGATAATACAGTTTAATTTCTCTCTTAAAAGAGTACATAAAAGAGTATGCCAAACACCATAACTTCTTCAGTATGCTGTACTGGTTATGGAGCCAAGAGTGCCATGGCATCTCCACCCCTCCAATACAAGTATATAAGTAGTGAAACTGTTTGCAAATGGTTTGAAAACTTACCTAGGGTCTGCTTGGTGTCAGTTACCTCCTCCCTGAGAGCCAGAAGTTCTCTTCATAGGTATAAGTCTAGCGGTGCAGCTGGGCAATCAGCTGACATTGTCAGTGAACGAGCTGGCCTTATCTCAGGAGATTTAACAAAAGCTCCGTGCAGGAGCTTATGGCTCTCAGTGGAGGAAGTGACAGACAACTTGCTGACCCCAGGTACGTTGTTTAATTATTAGCAAATGGTTTGACTAGTTACATGGGAGGGGGGGGCACCTCTACAACACACAGTAGTGGTTATGATGCTTCAAGTGTTCCTCTAAACATATCTGAAAAAAAATGACATGTATATTCATATGTAAATATTACTTACCTGGGTGGCCTCTGCTTCCCTTAGCACCAGAATTACCAGGGAATCCTCCAATTGTGCTAGATTCTCCTGGTTCACCCTTCTCACCTGTAGCACCTTTCATCCCTTGTGCACCTATAATATCTGGTCCTGTTTAAGAGAAATTGCATATAGATCCATTATTTTGGACAAGTTGAAGCAGTGCTTGATTGACAGCACCTTTGATAGTAGTTTTGGCAGAAGTTGTACCTGGCTCTCCTGATATCCCTTTATTGCCTTGCAAGCCATATTCCCCAGTATCACCTCTTAAACCTGGAAAACCTGTCACAGAAACACATACACAACTATCATTAGACCTATTGAATCAATGAGGCAGTATGTATTTTAGATATTGCATTTATTAGTATGTGTTGCCTTAGAGATCATCTACCTAATGGGCATTTATTTAATTTAAAGGATCAACCTATCATTAAATCTACAGCCTATTATTGCCACTAGTGCAAGATTGGATGGATAATGCAGAATTAAACACTTCATCATTATCATGTCAGCAACTGTGGATAGAGTGCCAGAAGAACCCTGTTTTTTTTTTGTGAAACCGCTTTAAAATGGTTGGCAAAAAAAAAAAAATTAGTCTTAATATAATATATAAGTGTAATTAATAAGAGCAGAATAAATTCTTGGAAACCTTCATGGACATATAAGGGCTTTAGAAGTATGTGGATATAAACACACATAAATATTTCCAGTCATCATAAACCATATGAAAGGGAAGAGATCAGATATCATAGAAAACTGCAATAGACTGCTATCGAAACTTATGATTTTTTTGATGCCAGAAAGAAGATGTAAAGCCTCAGTTTGATGGGCCTAATAAACTGTTATCTTACCAAAAGCGATTCACATTGAATTATATAAATTAAGAAACATCTAATGGCCATTTATTTAAATAGTTATAGGGATTTAGGCTAGTGTACATATTACACTTTTCTACTTAAAGAATTCCATTACTGCTTTGAGATATTTACCTTGCAGACCAGGTAAACCAGGATTGCCAGTGTATCCTTTATCACCATATAGACCTGGGACACCATGGTCACCCTGAGAACCCTTTAATCCCTGCTGACCCGGAAATCCTATTGTAAAAGAAATAGGTCTGAACAGTTGCATAAAATAATCAGGGAACAGAAACACAGTACAACAGGGATTTGTAGACACCAAGTTAATAAGAGATACAAATTAATAACAAAGACAACAAGAGAGATCCACGACTGACATATCACTAGTACTTCCACAGTCACATAATGTACCTGGTTGTCCTGTCTGTCCCGGTGACCCAGATTCTCCCTTCATTCCTTCAATTCCTGGGAAACCAAAATTTCCAACAGTACCTTTCTCTCCAGTTATTCCTTTCACTCCTAGAAAAAATATACATTATAGTATAGATTCTCAAGAGGCATAAAGCTGCAAAAGTTGGAGGTTTCGTGCAATGGGATAGTAATAAGTGAAATTTACTTTCAAACACATACAATTAACACCTTAAATAGCCTGGATGAATTTCTATGAGAACACATATAAGGAATAAATTCATGTTAAACAAATGGAAAATGCTTCAACACTGAGATTTTATTTTACCATTTTTATGATGTTACATTGCATTACAGTTTATGATGTGAGTATCAATAGGTAAAAAAAAATAACCAGATTCACTCTACATAGAGCTGAAATAAATACCTGGAAATCCAGTAGCACCGGGTTCACCTGTTAACCCCCTCTCCCCTGGTAAATCTATAGTGTCCCCTGGATCTCCTGCAGGTGACATAGAATACATCAAATATACATTTTCAGTTCACAATATCCTAATTACTTTGATTTGTCATTGTTTCTGATTCCTACCTGTTTCTCCAAGAACGCCTTTTTCCCCTGGAAAACCATAAAAACCAGGCAGACCTTGCGAACCCTACAAAATGACAAAATGCATACAATTTAACAGCTATATTTGGATTGGATAAAGAAACAAGATGGCGTTTCTACATACTTTCCCACTTGTGTGAAACCATTTAAACCACTATAGATAGGAACAAACTGTATTATATCTGTCAGTTTGGCTCTGCTTCAAGAAGAGCTCAATATCTACAACTTGATCCATTTGTAGTAGTGGAGTAATAAACCTGTACAATAAGATACACTTGTTAAATCTTTATTGAAAAGAAATTAAAGCTCCTTCGATGTTCAACCACATCTTTCCCAAGCCCTGATAGTTGCTGACTAGAACGTCAGTGGATAAACTATAGAACATTGGCCAAAATCATTACTTACAGTCATAAAGTCCATAAATGTTTTTGAAATAATGAAAAAATCTATTCTGGAAACACACCATGGTGTACCTGAAGTTTGTTTAAAGGTCATTATAGTTTCTCACTTTATGTATGTATGGATGTTTTCTACCTTCTACGTTTTTTCTCCCTTCTAAATGGGACCTGCTATATATAAACCTTTTATTGCACAAAAATAAATGTTTTTGTACTTTAGAAAGAATTAAAAAGATCTTATTAATTGAGGAGAATCTTACTCTGGGACCCGTAAATCCAGGAAATCCACCAATGCCGGGTGGACCAACTTGTCCTGGGACTCCTGGATGACCTTCAAAGCCTCTTTGTCCACTTTCTCCTTTATCACCACTTTCAGTGCTTGGCATTCCTGGTGAACCCGATTCTCCAGGCTTACCAGGGTGACCTGGCATCCCTTTAGTGCCTAACAAAACAAAAATATTTATGAACCTCCAATAACTGTTTATCTCTGCACACATTAAAGTTGTTTTTAGAACAGAATTTGAATTAATGAATGAGTATAGAGGAGCAATAACAACATTCTTGGCTACACTGCAAAATGTTTAGTGAAATAATAAAAAAAATATATATTTCCTGATATTTTTTACTCCCACCCATAAAAAAATATTTTTAGAATTGCTGTGAAAGTTTTTATTGGTAGTATTTTAATAATATTGATTTTGCAATTGTTATCTCCATAGGCTCATGAAGTATACGATTGTATGTTACTGTAGTTTACAGTTAAATGCATTTTAATCAGCTGCATTGATCAAAAGTTGTTGTGGTTGGGGTTAATTCAAGATTGAATCATTCTCTAGAACAGTGGTTCCCAATCTAATTATCAGGTATATCATTAGTTCAGGATTTAGTGTCAACCATTTCTCGTTTCTCTGCTCCTTTGTGAATTCAGGACAAAACTTGAAATGTTGTGCTTTGAGGATTGGAACTCATATTACACTCATACTTTCAGTCAGGCCCGGACTGGCCATTGGGCATTCCGGGCAAATGCCCTGTGGGCCGCGATGGCCGTGGGCCGAGGCCGGCAGGGGAGATCACAGGATCTCCCTTGTTGGCCCATATAGAGCCTGCGCTATCCAAGCGCCGGCCCTGCTGTGTGCCTCCATGGGCCGGTGGGTAAACCAAAGATTTCCCTCACTGGCCCAGAGGCACTGATTTGCAGCCACTGGCTGGGGAGGGAGGGAGGCAGGAGAGGACCTGGGGAGCTCTAGCCAGCAGCTACGCCGGTTTCCTCTTGCAGGTCTGAGCGTTGCTGCGGTAACGCTCAGATCTCGTGAGAGTGAACTCTAACCCTGCAGGCTAGATTTCACTCTCAACACTGAGACAACCAGGGATGGCAGCATGGCTCCCCACTCCATGGCAGGATGGCTCCTCTCACCCCCACTACCAAGCTAAAGGTAAGAAGGGAGGGGGAGATATAAAGTTTTTTTTTTTAATACAAAAAAAAATACATATTTATATAAACATATTTACACTCACACTAAGAGCACTCACACACATCACCCTCACACACACAACACAATCACACACAGCACACTCACACAGCCAGCACCCTTACTCACATATCACACTCACTCACACAGCACCCTCACACACACAGCCAACACCCTCACTCACACAGCCAGCACCCTTACTCACACAGCACCCTCAGACACACAGCACCCTCAGACACACAGCACACTCACACACACAGCCAACACCCTCACTCACACAGCCAGCACCCTTACTCACACAGCACCATCAGACACAGAGAGCACCCTCAGACACACAGCACCCTCACTCATAGAATGTGACAGTAGATAAGAACACCCTCACAAACACAGCACCCCTCTTACACACACACACTGCACTCCTCACACACATGCTGCACGCTTCACACAAACACACAGCACCCCTCACACTGCACCACTACACACATTACACTCCAGATACACGCTAGATCCCTTACCCTATATACACTCTATACACACATACACACACACACATACACACAATCTCCTATACACACTCTGGGTCCTTTACACACAAGATACACTGCGCCACCTACACACACTACATTCCTGACATACAAACTCTGGATCCCCTATGCAAACACTGCATTCCTTGTAAGCAAACACACACAGCATTCTCTAAACACACTCTCTACAACCCCTACACACATTACATCACCTATACACACACAAACACACTACAGCACGTATGCACACACTTGCTACATCCCATATACACATTATGCCCCCTATGCACACACTCTCTACAGCCCCTAGCCGCACATATTACACCACAAACACGAATAAAATTGACATATTTACACAATACCACACCACAATCAGCTCACTCTACACACACGCAATCCCACAAGCAGGCTCCAAACACATGCACCATACGCTTTCCTGGCCCTTTTGTCCTCTGGTATCCCACTTATGAGAAACCAGAGACAAGTTAAAAGCAAACACAGTGCAAGCATGTTATTACATTTGCTTGCACTGCAAGGAACAAATACAGGACCTTTTTCCCATGCTAGAGCTCTTCAGCGGGGCTCTGCACATTGAACTAACATACTCACTTTGAGAGGGGGTGTGCTTGTCATTAGTGATGACAAAACACACCCTCTCTGGCCCCGCCCCCATCTCAGCGGGCCGCTGTGATTGAAAAATGCCCGGGCCGAATTTTTTTCACAGTCCGGCCCTGCTTTTGGTAAATAGAAAATAACATTCTAGCATTTGTCTGGTTACATTGTGAATTGCAGTCAACAACTGAAGTGACAGAGTTTGAACACCCCAAGAACAATAATAACTACCAGACACTCTAATGGGTGTGGGCAAAGGAGTGCCCTAGCTCCCCACCTCTAATCAGCCTACAGATAAGCTGGTAGGTCCTGTTTAGGTGCTTCCATTAGCTCTCCTAACTTAGTTTAAATTTATTTTTATTAAATTTTTATAGACATATTGATAGACAGAACAACATTTGGGGGAAGGAGCCATACAGAAAGAAAAATAGGAACTCCTATCCCCACTAGACATACAAAGGTATATTGATCTATTTTAAATTACATCAGAGATACGCCGTCTAATACACAGTACTATACTAAGATTGATATCCCAGAGAGGGAATATCATGGTCTAAAAACGGCCTTAAATCCTATGTGGATAAAACAGACAGTAACAAGGACAAAACTGGTTAAATATATTGCAGAGATATAAAAGAGAAAAAAAAAAGTTCCAGTATTACATTAGCTAATATCAGATGTGTGGTCGAGGAACCCCATAATAGTGCCCGCTGTGATATCATCGGTTAGGCATGTGACGAGACCAATCTCGCCACATTGCATTGGAGAAGCCTGGTTGCTCGCCTGCTGCCTTTAGACTATGACCCCATGTTGAAACGCTTTAATTTTCCCTGCGAAGACATGAAAGCCGGGTCATTTGGTGCTTGCCCTGTTTGAGCAGTAATACCCCAGATAGCTATGCCGTGGAGCCCATTCGTATAATGAAAGACTATGGGAAAGACTTTGGCTCCATGGCAATTGAACTGTATGTATGTGCTCTGAGCGCCATTCAGTAATAATGTGCGCTTAGACCTAAGCTATCTGGGCATATGTTGCATGTCTGTATTTTATGTCATAAATGTAACCTTGTGTATTTTATTGTATTTTACTGTCTTTTTGCTGCCATGTGTTCAATGGAGTTTTGCCTCTGTCTTTGGAGATAATTGGATTACTTCTAATTATCTCCAGGATAGAAGACTCTGTGGAACTGGTTTTGGGCAGAAAAGCCATGCTTCCTGTGGTCACAAAGGACTACGATCTATCTTTTGAACCACTGGACCAATTTGTATGATTTTGACGTATGTTTGTATTTGGAGTATGCTGATTCTGAAAATGTTTTATGTGAATGTGATGCATACTTTTCAAGTTATGAATAATGTGGAAAAATTGTATTTCTCTGCTTGTGCTAAATTACATTACCCATTGTGTAAGGTAATTGAATCACATGCAGAGGGGAGGAATTTGTGTGGGAGTGTCTGAGTGTATTGTATGTGTTTATTGGTTGTGTTCCAAAACCCTGTGGGTGGTACTAATGTGTAAGAATGTGTACATAAGCACAATAAACCCACAGCTCTGTCTGTTCACTGCTTGACCCTCAACACGGAGCTTTGTCTCGTTCTTGGGGGGATTTACTGTATGCTGTTCCAGTTTGACTGCTGTTTACAGCATTCGTATGGTTTCCTGTTCGGCGGATTGGTGTTCTGCAGTAGCTGTGCCTGTGTTTCTGGAAGGGGAAGATCTACTAAACGGCGGTTTAACCCTTTTATGCTGAGGGTGCCGTTACAAGGCATAAGATGATCATAGAGAGTAGCCCGACCGCCTCAAACTCATTAAAGCCCTTTAATTTTTTCAACAAGACTGGAATAAAATGTCAAAATATTAAAATTGGGATAGTCTCTCATATAAATTAGTCCCTTTTCCATCTCGACTTGGAATAAGAGTTGGGCTTTAACTTGATCTCTAGTAGGAATGTCAGTGTTTTTCCAAAATCTAGCCATTAATATTTTGGTAGCCATTAAACAGTGTATAATCACAATATCGAGATTATCCTTTATTTCAAAGCCCATAAGATGGAGTAGGGCAATTTCCGGTTTGTGTTCCAGATGTATACCTCCAATTCTATATATAAAATCAAATGTAATATTCCAGAGAGACTTAATTCGATGGCAGGTCCACCATATATGATACATAGAGCCATCTGGGTGTAGACACCGCCAACAGTTAGATGGGTTAGTAATAGAAACTTTAGCGAGTCTAGTCGGTACCAGATACCATCTATACAATATTTTAGTGAAAGTCTCTAGAATATTCAGACAATTAATGTTTTTTTTAGTCTTCATAAAGGATTTACACCAACTATTAAATGGAATGGATATTGCTAGGTCAGTTTCCCATTTGGTTAAGGCTTTGGGGATAAATGGAGTCCCCTTAGTTTTTATTAGTTCAACTGCAATAGAGAATATCTTTTTAACCTTACACCCTGAAAAATTTTTCCTAAACAATTTTCCAAAACGGTCGTCTAATACCAATATGTTATCTTTCAAATAGCTCTTAATACGGAGAAAATTAAAAAATTCTCTAGAGGGTAAATCTAACCATTTTTTCAAAACCTCAAAGCTTTTCAAATGATGATCATTATAAAGATCTTTTATCTTATGATTAGGATCTTTAAACCAATTTGTCAGATTTATCTCTAGCATAAAACGTTTTAACGACCTTAGACTCAGGTTCTCATATAGTTTTTTGTTAATATTCAACTTCTTCTTTATATTAGTCCATTCTTTTAATGTCTGTGATAGAGACAAAGGAAAATGAGAACCAATCTCGCACAACTGCTTATTCTGACTTGCCTCTCTCCATAAGAGGAATTCAAGATTATCTAAACCAAGTCTGGCTGCCTCAATTTTATACCAAGCCTGGTCAATAGAATCACTTAGTTGTAGTTAGCTCTCCTAACTTAAACCCTGCAGTACAAGGCCAGCTCATTTGATCAGTACATCAGCTGATAACTCTCAGCCTTAAGCCTTGCAATACTGAGCTTAGCTCAGAGTGGAGAGCTTCTGGCTGAGAGGAGGAAGTGGACATCTCCTGACCCCCCAGGTAAGAAGACAAACTGTTACTCAATAGTTTAACTACTTACATTGGGGGTTGCCAGGACACTCCTACGCTGTAGTGGTTGTTATTGTGCCTAAAGTGTTCATTTACATGGTGTGCTTAAAAAATTATTTTAGCGAATTCCTAAAAAATGCATTTTACTGTAAAATCACTAAAAGGAGGGCTTACCTTTATCTCCAGAGAATCCTTTAAACCCATCGATACCCTGTTCTCCTTTTGCCCCTTTCACTTCCATCATCATTTCGGGCTTTATATGAGGTGGTGCTCCTGGTGTTCCAACCTCCCCACGATCCCCTTTAAATTAAATCAGAAAAAAATTGATTACAGGGAACAATTTCACTCAGTTCCAATTTAAATAGAAAGGTATATTTAAGAGGGATATTATACCATAATTGTTGTATGTGTCGTAAGTTAATATATCTATGTTCCCTAATATTAAACATTGAATGTGACGGAAGATAAGAACCATTCGGCCCATCTAGTCTGCCCAATTTTCTAAATACTTTCATTAGTCCCTGGTCTTATCTTATAGCTAGGATAGCCTTATGCCTATCCCACGCATGCTTAAACTTGTTCACTGTGTTAACCTCTACCACCTCAGTTGGAAGGCTATTCCATGCATCCACTACCCTCACAGTAAAGTACTACTTCCTGATATTATTTTTAAACCTTTACCCCTCTTCTAATTTCAGACTATGTCCTCCTGTTGTGGTAGTTTTTCTTCTTTTAAATAAAGTCTCCTCCTTTACTGTGTTGATTCCCCTTATGTATTTAAATGTTTCTAGCATATCCCCCGTCTCGTCTTTCCTCCATGCTATACATGTTAAGATCTTTTAACCTTTCCTTGTAAGTTTCATCCTGCAATCCATGAACCTGTTTAGTAGCCCTTCTCTGAACCCTCTCTAAGGTATCAATATCCTTCTGGAAATACGGTCTCAAGTACTGCGTACAATACTCCAAGGGAGGTCTCACCAGTGTTTCTTCCCATGTGGACATATTTAACTTTGTTTTATAACCCTTGCATGGTGCTCAGCAGTAACCTTCTTCCACTGGTCAATTTCACTGTCACTTACTTAGAGCCACAGAGCACAGCAAACCCATTTGGGTTGGATGAGTAAGACACATGCCAACAATCTGGTATGTAGAACGTAAAGTTTGTTGGATTAGTTCCACTAACAACCACTAGGGAATGCAAAGAGCACCAAAATCACATAAAATATAATTTCTTTCTTACTCTAGTTTATCTCCACTGTTAAGAGTCAAACAGCTTTCAAATAATAAGACACATACTTGCGGCCCACTGGAGCCTGCAGTCCATCTGCTCTTCACAGCTATAGCTAAATAGCAAGTCTCAATTCTGTAACAGCCAATACATTCCATCCAAAGACAGATGGAATTGATCTAATAATGTAGAAGATGAACTGTTTCCAGTAACAATATTACAAAAGACTGAAAGAACATAAGGAGAGGTGTAATTACTGGGGTAGTGAAATTTCATATAATATCCTCTTATTAGAATGAATGGGAGTTTTGCATAAATTCAGTTTTTTGAACAAGGCCCTACATATCGTTATTGCGGTCCCTTTTGTCAAAGCTAAATTTTTTTAGAGAATATATACTGTTCTTAAGACAAGATAAGGTGCGGGAATCAAAAGAGCATAGAGTCTGTTGGCAATCATTCTGCTAAAAGAGGCTTAAATATTCTGCATAATTTGGCTCACCTCTCTAAATTTATGGAAAAGGTAATTGTGTACCATTAGAAGGGACTAATGAAAAGTGCTTGCCAAATTCCCAAAAATGTGTTACATATCATATACGATTTTAAACATGCGCCACTGAGGTCATTTAAAAAAGGATTGATTACCCAGCTAAGACCGTGTACCAAACTTGGATCTCAATCAAAAAACATTTTAAGAACCACCTCTCTATGAAGTACAGTTTGCTGTTGACCTTCACACAAAGTATCAGTATTACTACACTTACCTTCTTAGCTGACTCTCACATATGAAGTGTGTTCGATATAATTTGCAAAATATAGAGAACATTTGTTACAAATACCTTTTGTTCCTGAAATTCCTTGATTTCCTTTCACGCCCGGAAAGCCAGGGTTGCCAGTCCCTCCCTTAAGTCCATTCCAGGCAGGCCTTCCCTTCACACCTTTCATACCCTGGAAGCCTTCCATTCCTGGGGATCCTTTCACACCTTTTTATGATTTTGAAAAAAATGAAACATCATCAACAGTGTTTAAAGAAGAATGTTTGAAGGTTAATAAGATAAGTGATACCTTTTTCAATACCACCCAGGCAAAGAAAATTCACAATGGTTATACATTCACAATGTCACCATTGCCTCCTTAGGCCACATACCATAGCATATATTCTTTGGTTCCCACTACTTTTAAGACAAAAAATCCCCCCGGTTTCAAACTCCATTGCTTTTTTAAATGTAGGAGAAATATAGAGTGCCCTAAGCTGCACTGAGCCACTATTCAATAAAATACCACTTTCAGCTCTCCCATACTGTCTGACAACTTTTAACCCTAGGCCTTTGTGTCATTCAGAAACAATATACATTGCAAGAGCCTTCCTTACACTCTTCCCTCGACTCCAATCTCTCATTTCCCATCTACAATGAAAAGGGAAGTTTAGTGGAGATCTTTTACCCCCACTCACTCCCATGTAGCACGTGTGTATTGATGGCAAACTTCATTCTGATTGTAAACTGATCTACAACTGTTACAACTAACATCTACAAATTTGGATTTGCAGTGCGTTACTTCACCAATTCAATGGTCCAGAATACAGAATGTACAGAAATAATTACCGTACTCTGTTCATCTTCCCTCTTTGAACAGTAAAGAAATAATATTTATAAGTGGTATATGGAATCTCCCCATTTAAACAAATATTTTCCTAACACTTCAAAATAATGCTGGCACTGTGGGGAGGATGAAGGTACAATGCTTCACATATGGCGGAGTTGTCCTATTATCAAACTGTTTTGAGAAACCATCCAGAAACTGATATGGGACATGACTGATAATGACCTTTCTCTTACACCCTTCAATTAGGTCTGGATCTTTCTACTTAATACCTTGAGGCATTACAAGAACTCATACTTTACATAATCCTAATAGCGCAACAACAACTCACATGAGCCTGGAATCTTCCTCAGCTTCAGTAGCACAAACATTGCTCAATTCATTAGGCAAACAAAGCATCTATGTGTGTAAATTCACTGCTTTTTATACTAATTATAAGATTTTGACCACAGTGTTGAATAGGTGGGACACTTGGAGATTAGGAGCTGGTTTTTTTCACTGATTACCTACTTCCAGGTTCTTACATTGTTCATTAGAAAATAGTCCCATTTTCCCATACTATTTTTCTTTATATATAAATATATATTTTGTAGATTGATAGCACATACTGTGTTAAGCAATCTAAATTGTATTTGTATTCTATACTTTTCTGAATGTTCATTTAACATTATACAGATTTGTTCCTTTCTGTACCCAGTTCCTTTATCTGAAACAAATAAAGTACAAATGCTAAAAATTGTCACCATTACCATAGTATATTACCTTTCACACCTGGATGTCCATGCATGCCAGGCAAGCCAGGGAAACCTGGTTCACCTAGTTTGCCTCTTACACCAATAAATCCCACATCTCCACGATCTCCAGGTGTTCCCTTCATGCCAACAGGACCAGGTGGTCCTTGCTCTCCTTCATCTCCTCTTTGTCCACGGGGACCTATGTGGAAAGTGGACAGTGCCAATTAAAGAAACAACTTCATAAAAACACAATATAATTTTTTTTCCCAAGTACAAGCAATGTTATGGCACAGTTTCCATGTATTAAACCTTGTGTAAAGTGCACAGAGCAAGTTATAGATCAACTTTAATAAGCTTTTTTCATTTTACAAAAATATCGTCATTTTTTAATATGGATGCTCCTAGGGAAATTGAGGTAACATAATTGACTGGAATACAACATGCAAACAACAAAAGATTCCATGTTGCCTAAAGTTAGCATTCCACTACTAGACGTTTGATGTATTGAATCTCACAGAATTCAGCTTCTTGAACTGTTATTCCATTAAATGTAACTACCCAATGCTTAGTCAGTTACTTTTTTTGAGTTTACTTAAAATATAGCACTAAATAGAATTATCTAACCTTGAAGTCCTGTTGTACCAGCAGCACCAGCTGTTCCAGGTTTCCCAGGCATTCCAGGGAATCCAAAGGCTCCTTCAGGTCCTGGCAATCCAGTGGAGCCAGGGACTCCAGAATCACCTTGAGCACCTTTAAATCCAGGTAGTCCAGGTCTTCCATTAGTACCTGAAATGTAAAATGTTAATGTCACATTGCCGAGCAACAGTGGTATTTAATGTGCAAATGATGGGAGGAGAGACCTGGATTGAATATATGACAATTATTTAATTTGTGCCATCACAAATGTGCCAAGCAATACAACAAAACAAGTTCAATACTATTACGCTGCTGGAAAAGTTAGATAACACCATTTAAAAAGACAGAAAATGAACAAATTTGTGGTTCAATTATAAAAGTCCTTCCAGTAGAAAACCATACAAGATTATTGTTGGTAATCTTACCAATGTCCCTATATTCACTTTTTGCCAGTATGCCAGTAGGGTAGTAACAAAGCATACTCTGCTATTAGATAGTGTCATTGTACTGTCTAGGAAGGATTTAATAATTATGGTCTACAATGTTTTTTTTTAGACTTTATTAAGAAAATATTCCACCAGAAAGAATACATTAAGATTTCTCCACAGAAGTAAGCTTCTCATCTGTCCTTCTTTCTGAGGCAAGGGCTATAAAGAAAGTAACAGGAAGTGGATTGTGGGACACAGGTATACAGGTAGCCAGAGTGAGCACACTGCTCAAGTAGTGTGAGCTGTAGATGCATATGCTACTTTCCTATTGTCTAAGACAGGGGATTCCCAACCCAGTCCTCAAGTACTCCCTACCAGTCCAGGATTTAGGGATTACCCTGCTGTATCTAAAGTGTTTTCTTTTTTTTTTGTCTTTCTAAAAATACCTTAGACACAACCGGGTAATCCCTAAATCCTGGACTGTTAGGGGGCACTTGAGGACTGGGTTGGGGACCATGGTCATCCGCAGGGGGTCCAAGGATTTTTCAGCATGTGCCGGTATTTTTATTTTCAGATTGATAATACATTGTAATACTGGCGCCGGCCAGTAGGTGGCGATGTATGTGGAGAGAGGCAGGGATAGGAAGCTACATCTTATCCCTGCTTCTCTCTCCTGACTGAATCCGCAGGGGAGCAGCACAGAGTAGAGCCAGAAACTCCCAAACTGCAGAGACAGCCTACAGATCAGGTAAGTGAGGGATGAGGGGAGGGGGCGAGACAGCCTATAGATCAGGTAAGTGAGGGATGAGGGGGAGAGACCACCTATAGATCAGGTAAGTGTTGGATGGGGTGGCAGCCTATAGATCAGGTAAGTGAGGGATGGGAGCCAACCTATAGATCAAGTAAGTGAGGGAATGGAGGTGGGGGGTGCAGCCTACAGATCAGGTAAGTGAGAAATGGGGGTATCCACCTACAGATCAAGTATGTGAGGGATGGGGGGGAGACAGCCTATAGATCAGGTAAGTGAGGGATGGGGAGACAGCCTACAGGAAGGGTCAGCAAGGAGCAGGAAGGTAAAGAAAGAGAAGGAGCAGAAATGAGTAGGAACAGAAAGGAGAGGAAGGGACATCAAGGAGCAGAAAGAGGCAGCAAGGAGCTGGAAGGGGCAGCAAGGAGCAGGAAGGGACAGAAGGAACAGAAAGGTAAAGGAGCAGAAAGAATCAGAAGAAGTACAAAGGTAAAGTAGGAGAAGGAGCAGAAAGGGACTGCAAGGAGCAGAAAGGCAGAAAGGGGCACAAAGGTAAAGTAGGAGAAGGAGCAGAAATGGTCTGCAAGGAGCAGAAAGGGATCAGAAGAGAAAGGAGCAGAAGGGCGCAAAACAAGCAGAAAGTAGCAGAAAGGTAAAGGAGCAGAAGGAGCCAAGGAGGAGAGAAGACAGTGTCAGAAGAAAAAGAAGACTGTGTCAAATGAAGGAGAAGAAAGGAGATTGGAGCAGGAAGGACAAGTGAAAAGAACCCTCTACTTTATTCTGGACACCACATCATAAGGCTTTGTTAACTGGGCCTGGCAGGGAAACTTTGGACCTTCTCATCGCCCCAGGTCAAAAAAAATATCAGTGTTAATGTGTTCACTTTTATTTACTGAGTGTCAGGAAGCACAGAGTGCTGCTGGGTAGGATTGCCGCTGATTGGCTAGAACAGTCAGCTGGCACTCTAAGCAAATCAGTAGCTCCCCATTTGTAAAAAAGATTAACATTTTTATGAACCGGGAACAAGCGATTGGCTTAGAGAGTCAACTGACCACTCTAGCCAATCTGTAGCACCAATGCCTGACGTCAATCTGCACTTCCTGACACTTTGTTTCAGAAGCCGAATACCACTGAGCGACCTGGAGATCTGGAGGTGGAGGAAGCCTTTGGGGTTAAACCATTTGAGAGCACCTAAGGGCATCCTGGCATCACAGCATTTTCATGTAGATGAAGTTGTTAAGGTGACCAGAATGTTCCTTTAATTTGCTTAAGTGTCAGGAATACAAACATGTTTTCCTGACAGCATAGTTGTGAAAACGGTATTCACCCTGGCTTTATGTGATAATGATTATGCCCCTTCCCTTTCATGACACAAAAGGGACCAAGCATGGATGTCATTACAATTATGCCCCACACCCGGAAAGATTCCTGCGGACACCCATGTTGGGAACCACTGGTCTAAGACCTGTATTAGTATTTGCTTTACAATTTATTTTCTTATGAGGAGATCTAAGCAGGCTGTTTGAAAATTTTTTTTTCAATATATAAGCTGAATGAGAGATTGAGGTCCATCGACATACTGAGATATTTATTGGAACTGATATTGTTCAAGTTACAGTTAGATTGTAATGCTTTATTGGGTTTTGTTAGTTTCAGAGTTTGGGTTTGTTTGAAATACTATTGCAATTGTTTTGTCAGTATTTAAGGAAGGCTTTTTTTTTTTTTTTTTTGCTTTAGCTGTTGTTGTTTTTTATCTTTGGTAACTTAAGTTTTATTGTGGCTTTTAGGGTACATTACATGTGTACAGCTGATGTCTTACACACAGAGTAAGGTCTTTAAAGGGACACTTTAGTCACTATAAGCATTTCATCTCCTTGAATTGGTTATAGTGCCTGGAGTGGCCTGGCACTGTCCCTCCATTCAGTGTTGCACCATGTTCGTACAGTATGCCACAAAATAAAAGTCCCTGGCCACCCACAGTCCTGCCCCTTCAGTATGTGTAGCTAAGGCAGAGATTACACACTTCCTTGTTGTCATACCCATTCATACCGTCAGTTGAAACTCTGACAGGGTAAAAGCAGTCAGCTGACACACTCAGCCAATCACAGCTGCCCATTGCTGCTCAGGCTAATACTTCCTTATTAGCCAAAGTAGCACAGAGGGGATGGATTGCCGGGGACTCTTGTTTAGCATTAAAACATTAAAACTTTAAAAACTGTTTAATGCTGATAGAAATGATGGGACCAGTGGACTCCTGACACTATAACCAGTTTAATGAGATGAAGCAGATACAGTGCCTACGGTGTCCCTTTAAAGGAACACTATAGTGTTAGGAATACAAATATGTTTCCTGTTTCCAGTGCCTGCGCACTCTTGGTGCTGTTCATCCCCCAGAGATGTCACAGAGGAGTGATGGCCACCACTTTGTTGATCCAATTCAATGTTCCTCACAGAGAAGCACTGGGGACCTACTGTGCATATGTGGCAAGTGCTGCACGTGCATTAAAATTCCCCAAAAGAAGTGCCTTGAACCAGTGCTTTCCTATGGGGACCTCTGTGTCATGTGATCAAGTTTTACTTGGTCAGTGCAGTGGAAGTTCCTCTAATGGCTGTCAGTCACTAGAGGAAGACTTAGCATTGCAAGATAAACATTGCAGTTTCTCAAAAACTACACTATTTTACATTGCAGGGATAAGAGGAAAGGGACACTGTACCCTGACCACTTCATTGAGATGACTATATGGGTGACTATAGTGTTCCTTTAATTGATATGGAGAACAGAAAGGGACAATAATTAAACCATGTGGAACTCCACATGTAATACTAAGAGAGTTGGAGACAGTGCTAACAATGGACACAAATTAAGCCCTGTCAGATATAAAGCTAAAACCAAAAGAGCTAATGTAATAAATAATGAAATCTCAATAGGTTTGTATTGGTTAAAGCTAAAGCAGATATATAGGAATTGGTAATATGTAATTTTCATAACGAATCTGAAAACTAGTTTGGCAATATGGCTATTCACACTGCAAACTATGGTTTCTACACAATTACTGGTGTAAAACAATGCAATGGTGTTATTAATAAGACTGAGAAGTGGTGTTAGAAATGTTGAAATTATGTACCTTGAGTGCCTGGAATTCCTTGATCGCCTTGTCTACCCTTCAGACCTGGAAAACCAGGAAGTCCCATATTTCCACGGACTCCAGAAGGTGCTCCTAATACATCACCTGCAGCTCCTTTTTCTCCATCCAATCCCATTAAACCAGGTTTTCCTGACGGACCAGGCACCCCTGGGAGTCCAGGCAACCCAGGTCTACCTCTATCTCCCCTGGGCCCAGGAAATCCTGTGGGAGCAATAAGAAATTTACAATTTACAAAGAATCTCAATGAGACAGTAACATTACAAAGAAGGAAGGTGGAAAGAGAGAAGTAATTGTAAGTGGCATATCTAGAGATCTGACATTTTAAGGCAGTTCATATCGCACCACATAGGGTCTTGAGACATACATAACTATTGTTTGTTGGAAGCCTAAAAATGAAAAGACTTGCTTGTAAAAAAGAGAAAGGGATAATACACACAAGAAACCATGTGCAGCACCTTGTAAATTTTAAGCAAAAGTTACCTTGTGGACCAGGCAGACTTTCTGTCCCAGGGTCCCCTTTGGTTCCTTTAATGCCCCAAGCACCATCTTCACCTTGTGCACCAGGCTGTCCTTTTTGTCCTTTTACACCTTGTGTCAAAAAGGTAAAAAATACATCACTGATTAATTATCGATAAATACTAAAAGAGTATACATAGGAAGCTCAGAGTAAATTTAAATCAAAACCCTACTGCAATGCTACTTGTCTCATTATTTATTTGTTACATTTCAGCACATTCTGTCCCATATAGGACACTTTCTGCAACTCAAAGAATTGCTATTAACATTAATAATATAAACAAATATTCAGTTGCACAGTTAAAATAAACTTGTCTCCAAGGAAGGAAGTTCAGATCCTAGAGAAAACCCATAATAAGCACAGGTTTAATGAATGTCCCATTTTCCCTGGAATATCAGGCACAAGATCAGAATGTTTAGTTCCTGCACTTGCTAATTAGTTTTAAATATATCCCTGCCTGACCACACCACATGTTTTTTAGGATAAGTACGAAATTAAATTTGAAATAAAATTTTCCAACAACATGTGAGCAAGCAGAGTTGTCATTATATGTGCTTTCACCTGTTTTATGTAAGATGTTTTAAAATTACACTACAATTTGGTTCACCTCCTATTTTGTAATGAAGCATCTGCTAAACGTTTATGTCAAATACAGTTTTTTTTTATTGCTGTCAAGCAAAGCTGTTTATTGAGCAGGACATAAATAAAACATGCAGAAAGGTGCAACGTGTAGCGTGGACGTGCAGGTCCAAACATGTCAATACAAACGTAGTATACAATGATATACATCATTACATCTTTCCATAATGCAGGTTAGATATCAGCGAAATGTGCAATGTAGCGGAATGTTGGCTAAGACAGTGTCTTGACTGACTCTCAGCCTCAGTTGGCATGGTGGTGACTCACAGACAATGAAACATCAATCAATGAACAATACTGAACAGATAGAAAGCGTACTTTAAAAGCATCACATGGCTTTAGACATGCGCAGTGTCTGTTAGTCACTTTGACCGTGAACAGAAAGTACCAGTCTACCCGTCTGTATAGGGGCAAGTTTATGAGGTTGGAGAAAAGAAACTGTGGAGAGAAGGGGGAGGGAATGGAGGTCAGGTGCTAGCCCAACTGCCTAGAGTTTGCGGTTCCCCCAGCCATTGGGGATGGTCCCAGTAGCGGTTAGGTATATCAAGGGTGTGTTGCACAGAAGGGTAGCCCTGAAACGGGGTAGGAGTGCTCCAACTCTATCCCTTATGGCCGTGCCTCCTTCCCTGCCCCCCTATCCCGCACCGCCACGTACGCCAGCCACGACCGCCACCTCTTCACTTGCTTTTCCTCAGCTCCCAGCAGCGATTCCTGCACTGACTCCTCCATGTATATCTCCTCCACCCTTTCCATCCATTGCCCCATAATGGGGGTCGTGTTCTGCTTACAATGTAGTGGGATCAAGACTTTGGCGGCATTCAGCAGGTGTCGAAGTATAGATTTTCTGTAGGCCGTAACTGTAGTTGACATGGAGTGTAGGAGAACTGTTTCCATGTCGAAACATCCCGCGTCGCCAAGAATCTCCTCCGTTTTCCATTTCACTGCATCTCAGAAAGGCATAATGCGTGGGCATTCCCACCATATATGCGGTATCATTCCCAGTTCCTCTCTGCATCTCCAGCAAATATTAGGCACAGCTGGAAAGATTCTATGTAGGATGTCGGGTGTTCTGTACCAGAACGCAAGAAATTTATAGTTGGTTTCCTGATATTTGGAACTCGAGGAGCATTTGTGGTGGAGGATTATGATCTTCTCCCATTGAACCGTAGTGAACGACTTATCAAGAGTACATTCCCAACATCGGCAGAAAGTATCTCTATTCTCCAAATGTCCCACAAGAAGGTGCTGGTATATATCAGGTCTTCAGCATTTGAGCCACTGTTGAGGTAGGATCAAAAGCCGCTTGTGCGGGCCTTTTTGATTTCCACACTGCCATAACAAGGGATGGGCGCAAGTGACCCTTATCGAGTTCAACCCATTGTTTATGTGTCGGGTGGATATGCCATTCCAGTATCCTCTGTAGTACAGTCACATGGTGATATTTGCGTAAGTCAGGGAGTGCCAGACCATCCCAGGCTCACGGCAGGCATAGTAGTTCGTGACGAAGTCATACCTGGCCACCACTCCAGACGAATCGTATAATAGCGGAGTGTAGGGATGTGAAGTAGGCCGTAGGTAGGGCTAGAGGGATTGTTTGGTAGAGGTAGATGATCCGGGGTAGGATATTCATCTTGAGTATTGCAAAATATTAATTACCTCACATTTGGACATGATCAATTTAAATCGAGATGTCTCGCCATACAACCCGAACAGTTCCACCAATGTAGTCTCGGGGTCTTTTACAAAAAACAGGCGGTGATCTGCATATGGCATAGGCTCCCTCCGGGAGAAACCCTGGATCCTATCCAATTTTTGCACAGCCTCCAGGAATGGATCAAGGGTAAGCGCAAACAGCATAGGAGAGAGGGGGCATCCCTGCCTTGTATTATTCCTATTTCTGCAGGCGTCAGTGAGCACGCCGTTCACTCGCACCTTTGCGCTGGGGTAACTATAGAGCACACCAATCCATTTCAGCATGTTCCCACCAAGGCCTAACTTCCATAGCGTAGCCATGAGGAATGACCAATTCATCCGATCAAATGCTTTCTCTGCATCAGTTGATAGGAGGAGGATCCAGTCTTGTGATCTTTTTGCTAGGTGTTGACAGAGCTCTAAGGGTACTATTCCTAGCCTCTCTCCTGGAGATAAACCCCGTTTGATCCAGGTGAACAATCCTCTGTAACATTATTCCGATTCTATTGGACTAAATCTTTGTTAGTCTACATGAGTAGGGAGATTGGCATGTAACTACCACAGAGTTCAGGATGCGTGCCCGGCTTCAGGAGGATGGTTGCTAGTGGCTGCTAGTAACTGGTGATGGAACTGGATATTCGTTATGAGGGCATTAAAAGCTTGTGTGAGTTTTCGAAGCAGTATAAGTCTGAACTTTTTATAGTAGTCCAAGGTGAAGCTATCCGGACCTGGTGCATGCCCCGTTTTAGCAGCCTTGATTGCACTCCGGTTGCAGTCTCGTATGCTAAGTATCTTATCCTCTCTGTCCGCTATGTCTTCCGGTCGATTGTGGGATGTTGTATAAGGATGAGTAGAAGGAGCGAAATTCTGAGGCAATCTTGTCTGGGAATTGGGTAACCGTGCCGTCGGTGGTCCGCAACTTGTGAACTTGGGCAAGAGCTTGGGGACCTTTGAGCATCCTTGCCAACAGCTTCTCTCATTTGTTAGTATGGTGAAAGGCCTTCGATCGCAGTAGAGATCAGAAATATCTGTGGATTATGTGTATGTGTAATTGCCAAAGTGCCTCCAGCAATTCACTGTATGTTGCCACGAGTTGGGAACGTTTGTGCTGTGCCTCGAGGGTCGTGATTTTCTCCACGAGTTTGATTGTCTGTTGCTGTGAGTCTCTCTTTTTCTTGGAAGCTAAGCGCATCAATGTACCCCTGATTACGCTTTTGTGAGTTTCCTACATGGTGGTAGCTGTAAGTTTGCCCCCATCTTCAGCTCAGAGTAGGTGAGAGCGTCGGATACTTGTTCTCTCACTTCCAGATCTAAAAAAAGGGAATCGCGAAGGTGTCAGGTCCAGGTAGCCGGGCGCATCCTTGGGGGATCCATCTCCAGGGTTACCAGGCTGCCATGGGCAGCCCCTATCTGTGCTTTTTGGATGGTCGCCAGCTGTTCTTGTTGTAGAAATATATAGCTGATTCTCGAATATCGTCTATGGGACGTGAAATAGTGGGCATATTCCTTATCCTCGTGTGCTCCGTAAGTCGGAGTCCGTTGAACTAAAGTGATGGTAGCCATGGTGTCTCGGAGGCCCTGAGCAGTCTTGCCAGTAATCATTACCAACTGGCTTTTGGTTGTCTGTGTTTGCCGCCTGTACAGGGTCGGCCTCATGTAGGAATCCCAGGGGTTCTTTCCGAGTCAGCTCCCGGGCTTCCGAGGTGGTAGTCCACGCAGTGTGCAGCCGAACGTTGGTTGGGGATCCCTGGCCAGGTCCAATTGGATCTGGGTGGTTCCAGGGAACAATCTTTGTGGTAGTATCCCACTTGCTTGCACTGGTAGCAGCGTGGACCGGTCATCTGGGGTGGTCTATACACCGCTGGAGAGGGTCGTGGAGGAGGTTGATAGCTCCCCTTGTGCTGGGGACTCGATTCGGGAAGGTTAAACTCTGAGGTGAGACCGCTCCAGCCTACGAGCATCTGTGTACTCGTCTGCGAGCTTGGCTGCCTCGGAGAGAGTAAAGGGTCAACGGTCTCTCACCCAATCTTTAATGTCAGATGGAAGCAGGTTGAAAAACTGCTCCAGTAACATCAACTGCAACAAGTCTTCCAACGTGGTAGCCTGACAGCCATTAATCCAGTGGGTGGCCGTTCAGCAAGCCCACTCCGTGTAAGAGTCATTATCTGTTTTTCTGGAGTCTCTAAACTTTTGCCAGTACGCTTCAGGGGTTATTGCGTAACTGGCTAAGAGGGCTTCTTTCACCCACTCATAGCTGTGCACTTCATGGTCTGGAATGGCTCTGAAGACATCCGCTGCCTTGTCAGACAATTTTCCCGCTAAAATAGGGACCCATTCCTCCTCCGCTACTTTGTGAAGGGCACATTGTTTCTCGAAATCGGCTAGGTAGCCGTCAATCTCGCCTGTGGCTTCGTCAAATGTTGTAAATGCGCTAAACGGTACTTTCCGCGGTTCTGAGTTGAAGCTGGAACTCTTTGGTGAAACCGCTGCAGTTCGTTGCTCCACTAGTAGACGTACTTGCAATTCGCCCTGTGCCCGTTCTTTGGCGTTCACATCATCAATAATCCTCCTGATGATTTCGGGAGAAAGGTTTGGCCTGAACAGTGCCAACTGTTCCCTTATCTCCCTTATTGTTTCGCTTTTGTTTGTGCGAACATCCGGGGTCGCTGTGAACAAGTTCTCTCCGTCCAGCTCCATCAGCTCACTGATAATAAGACGCTTGGCTTTATTGCTGGCAATGCCCCCAAGAATCTCCGGTAATTCCTTAAAGGTGCTGCGCTTGAGTTGCGCGGTCCAGCCTTCCATCCACTGTACTCCAGTGCCAACCTTGGATTTTAAGTCTGTCAAGGTATCACCACCACGGATACCCTTTTTCCAATATAAACAAGCAAATAATCCCATAGGTAAAATATAGCTGGTGTAGCATAACCCCCACACATGAGCCAAGGCTTAATGCTGGGAGACGACTGGTTTAATGGAAGTACAGGCATCAAATTTGTAAAGTCAGTAAATTCTTCCTCTGTGCATGAGACATACCGTACATACTCGAGTATAAGTTGACCTGAATATAAGCTGAGGCACCTAATTTTACCACAAAAAATTGGGAAAACTTATTAAATCGAGTAAGCCTAGGGAGGGAAATGCAGCAGCTACTGGTAAATTTCTAAATAAAATTAGATTGCAATAAAATTACATTAATTGAATATTTATTTACAGTGTGTGTATATAGTGAATACAGTGTGTGTGTGTTTGTGTAGTGTGTGTATATAATGAATGCAGAGTGTGTGTTTGTGTGTAGTGTGTGTATATAATAAATGCAGAATGTGTTTGTGTGAATGCACTGTGTGTGTATATAATGAATGCAGTGTGTGTTTGTATGAATGCAGTGTGTGTATATAATTCAGATTGTGTGTATATAATGCAGAGTGTGTGTTTTGTATGTGTGTGTGTGTATGTAATGCAGAGTGTGTGTTTGTATGAATGCAGTGTGTGTATATAATGAATGCAGTGTGTGTGTGTGTATAATGCAGAGTGTGTGTTTGTATGAATGCAGTGTGTGTTTGTATGAATGCAGTGTGTATATAATGAATGCAGTGTGTGTTTGTATGAATGCAGTGTGTGTATATAATGAATGCAGTGTTTGTATATAATGAATGCAGTGTGTGTATATAATGCAGAGTGTGTGTGTATATAATGCAGAGTGTGTGTGTGTTTGTGTAGAGTGTGCAAACTGGGTGGAGGGAGGGCATTTTTATTATTTTTATTTTAATATTATTATTTTATTTTAATTTTAATATGATTATTTTTGTAAAAATTTTTTTTAATTCTTTATTTCTTTTTATTCCAGAAATCCAAACATACACAGGACACAGTGGACAGTGCAATCGAACAGTAAAGCGGCAGTATGCTTTGTTACAGTGGTTGCATATATTCGGTGCATTAACATTACGTTACAATTCCTGTTGAAGAGGCAAATAGAGTAAGGGCTGGGTACCTATGCCAAGGACCGCTTCCTAGCTGGAACAGGGGCAAACCACAGCACTTCTGCCCACAGTCGCCGTGGCTTGACTGGGGTCCTGGAACAGCTCCCTTCTGGAGCCGAATTGGGAATCCGCTCTAGACACCCCCAGACACTGGACAACACTCCAGTGGTGTACTGGGAGCTCTAGTCATTACAATGATTTTCCCAGTTGAATCCTCCACACTGGAACAGTGATTAAAGAGTAGCCCTTTCCCCTCCCAGTAACTAGACAACACATAGGTCTGGGAGTACAAGCTGTAATATGTTTAATCTGGCCAGATTGCCTGCTTTTATACATTTTCAAATACAGTTGAGCACACCTATGACACTCCCACAGAAAACAGAATAATCCCTTCCCTATGCCTGTGAGATAATTGAGTCAGGAACTGTACAAAACTAAATTATCTCCAGGCACAAAAACACACATTTCACAAACACCCCAAAAGTACCTTAAAAATACATAAACCCCCCTAAAAGTTACATTCCCCTATAGCCCCAATCAGGGTGACCAACATATCCAAAAATCACCCAGATCGGTTCAGGGGTGCGGGAATTTCCTGGAAGTCTTAATTTCACCGACCAGACAAGAGGATCCTGCCCAAAACAGTTCCATAAAATCAGGGCTAGCAGTCAGTCTAGTTCGGTAGTTTAAAACCAAACAAACTACCAAACAGAATCCATTGACATACCATGGAGATTGTTCCCTTCTTCCAGAAGAACGATCCCACCGAACAGTGTTCTTCTAAGTTATATAAAAACCGAACGCATGAGATCATGGAAGTCCAGCGTTGTTTGGGAGTTTCAGTGTTTGACTTTAGTTCCATGATCTCGACAACCAAACACCGCTGCCTGCGTTCACGCTAACAAGATGGCAGCCACCTCGTGGTCATCCATAGGAAATATGGCCACCCAGATGAACACTTAGAACACTGCGGTTAGGATTGTTACAAAGTATCCATAAGGCTTAACAAGCTCCCAGGTGGTCCATAGTTCGTGCGGTTCCCGAACCACAGAGGAGAATCACACAAACCAAGCCAGTTAAATAGTCTTTTATAGGTTTCCCTGCAGGGCCCATAGTCTGTGGGCAGGAGGCTGGCAAGCAGGCTCCTCCAGGAACTCGTGGCAAACTCATGTAGGAAGGGGAGTTTGTCACAGACTGTATTCAGGCCATGAACCCTGTGATGAGCATATTACTGATGTAGGCTAAGTTAGACGGGTTACTTCCCAACAGTGGACCCCTGCAAAACTGCGAGTGTGTGCTCGAACCCGCTTCCCCTCCCAAAGAGCCATACCAGTGAGCCAAATTCCCACCTCAGGTGGTTACCACAGAGCTACACATGGGGAAAAAGGGGCCAGTATAGTAATTACTAACAGCATTGTGGGTAAGTCTCGAGTGGCCCTGTTCCTTCAAACAGCCTCACAAACCAGAAGTAGGGGGCTGCGAAACAGGCGGTGAGAATTTTTTACTCCTCAGAATTTAGCTGGGTGAGGCGGTATGTTCCGTGAGCAGCCCTCTCGGGAGCCCCTCCGGGTGCATTGTGGGATTCTTTGGGGTTGGGGGCCGCGTTCCAGTGGCTCCAGGATCCAGTCAGGAACCTCCATGGGTGGCAATTCCAAGTGTTGCAAGAAGCATGGTACTCCTCTGGCCAGCGTGCTGCCATCCTTTCATTTTGGTGACGGATCTGAATGCTGAATGTAAAACCCAATTTGTAGGGGTCATTCCTCTCCTGCAAGGCTGATGTAACGGGTCAGAGCGCTCGCCTGGCTTCCAGCGTGACAGGAGAAAGGTCATTGTAGAGTGCTACTTCAGAGCCTTGTTACCTCCATGTGGCTCGCGCACTAGCTTGTCTCATAATAGGTTTTTTCAGGGGAAAGGAGTGAAGGCAGCATATTAGGTCTCGAGGGTCAATGCCATTTCCGCCGTGGCATCTTCCCCGAGTATCAGGCGGAAAGTCCCCTGTCAAGGTAGCTTCAACATTCTCTGCCTGGTCTGGCTCAGGCACCCCTCTGACCCTTATGTTGGAGCGACTGCTCCTGTTATCCAAATCCTCGATCTGGCGGCACAGGGCTAGCAACATGCTGCCCTGTTGCGCAATGGTATCTGCAAAGGTGACCTGCTGTTTTTGCGGCCTGGGCTTGTATCTAAAGCTGCTGGATGTGGTGGCCTCCACATTGGATTGCAGTGCCGACATCGCTGAGGTGAGGCAAGCTGTAGGAGTACTTGCCAGTATTTGCATGTCTGTTTTTTAACCATAGAAGCTGCCATCCTCCTAAGCTCTGCTCTTATATCTTATATATCTTATATATAAGTGTGGGCTGCTCGAGATCCGAGTTTATCGATGCAGGAGACGTCAGTGGCGGATCCAGGGGGGGGGCAACGGGGCAATTGCCCCCCCCGAGAAATCCGCCGGTCTCCCTCTCCCCTGCCGGCACATGCAGGCGCTAGCCCTGCAATGTGCCTGCGGACCGGAGGCGAGATCAGAGCTCTCCCTCCCCGGTCCGCAGGCACCGTGCTGGCGGCCGGCAGGGGAGGGAGGGAGTGAGAGAGAGGACCCGGAGCTCAGCCTGCAGCTCCTCCGGGTCCTCCTCTCGCGTGATTTGGAGCGTTGCCGCGGTTACCACGGCAACGCTCCAAATCTCACGAGAGTGAACTCTAGCCCAGGAGCGTGGGCTAGAGTTCACTGTAACCACTGGGACCACCAGGGAATCACCACTGGGACCACCAGGGATCGAAATATGTCCCCCCTCCTCCTCAATAAAGGTAAGAAGGGAGGGGGGGACATAATGATTATTTTTATTAAACTAAATAAAAAATATATATATTTTTAAAAAAAAGTCCCCCTACCCTTATCACACACACACTTTACACACATACACTGATCCCCATACTGCCCCCCCATACACCC